AGTGATATCAGTCTTCTAGGGCAGCAGGATCGGTGCTAACACAACTGCTTCACACACAATAGAGGTAGTTGTGGTTATTGCTTTGGGCCAAATAGCTATTTCCACACTTCTGTGACTAGAAAACTAGGGGTGAAGTGAACATTCCAGTGGTGATGTCTGAGATAGTTTTGAACTCTTTAGATGAGGTGGATAGATGAAGTGCGAAGTGATGGAGGCAGAGCCTGAGCTCATCCAAATTACAAAGTCTCAGAAGAAAGAAAGCCTTCAAACAGAGAGGTGTTGAGAGAGAGGGAGGGAGAGAGAGCTCTGCCTCGTGGAAAAAATATTTAATTTGTCAAAGTCATAGTGACTTTTAGGCCATGTCCCTTTAGAAATGCTGACCTAACAATAGTACTAATCAGAAAGCACGGCATTTATAGTATCTTAATGGCATGCACCCAAAATAGATTCTAGTTATATCAGCAAGTTGACAAGCTCACAGGGTACAGATAACTCTTGTAATTAATTTCTAAAAGTCACAGGAACTGTAAAGTTGGTATGGGTGGAGTATACTTTTTATTGAAATAATAAAGTGCCAGAATCACATCTACCCTGCTATTATTATAGACTTACTTGTAGATAAATTAAATCAGAATATGGCCTCCAAACTCTGATGGCATAAAACTGTTAATTTTCCTGTCTTATGTTAATGATACCAGAGAAGTATGAGCTCTAATTAGAACATGAATAGGGAACACACTGTGACCTGCTGGTTCTTAAGGTCTAGTGAGCGTAACTTTCTGAGGTAAATTCTTGCTAAATCACTTCCCTGAACTAGGTCACACCACCCACTGTGTCAGTGCCATGCGTTCATTAGAGAAGCACAGCATAGCAGTGCCTATAATTAAAGTTGCCCAACAGTTCCATGATAAGAACATGTTTGCCATCTCTTACAGGTTTCACCAGCTTTCATGCTCTGAAGTGAAATGTCCTGTCATGGATAAGTGTTATCAGAATACGTGCTTAAGTTCAAAATGTAATTACTGTTTTTTAGATACTCACATAATGGGTAATTATTCTCACACCATTTCAGTGTGAGTGTTTGCCTCAGTTTGTAGGACATGTCTGCTTTGGGACAGAGACTTAATTCCATGCAAACTGGAGCAAATTCAGCCACATTGCATACCTGTGAAAATTACAGTTCTCCGATGATTAGACACGATCGTGTTCTCAGCTAAATGCTCTGCAAGTTGTGTGACCAGGCATGATCTGATTATCCAGCAGAGGCACACCAGGGTTTGGACATCACACAGCTTCCAGCACTGCCACCTGGCCCTGTAATGCTGCCAGTGGACATGCAAAAAACAGTAAGATCTTGCAAAGCTGTTCAATATCCAGCTGCTGTTATTACTCAGTATTCAATAGAGGCACCTCTTTGCTTCTCTGGGTGATAATGTCAGTCCTGGCACACTGCAGGCTGAGATTGCTCCTAAGGTACTGCAGCGGGTTGTGTTCCTAACACAGATAACACTTTGTAATAAAAAGCTTACAGTGCATTTAATTACAACAATTCGGGGAGAAATAAAACGTTTTCATTTGGAATCTCAGTCTCTATTTTGCAACACTCCTATTGAAATAGATGGATAGGGCAAGAGCATTAATGTAACTATTGGGAAGGACTTGCATTTACTACAGGAATTTCAGAACTGGGCTGACTGTTTGTCTGCCTTTACAGCTTCACCAAATCATTTTTCCCCCTTCACAAAAGCTGAAGTTCCCATGGCTGGGATTCAGTCCACCTGTAGGGCTTAAAACATTATCTTTTATAAAAACTGTTACATTTGTTATCATTTCTCTTCATAAGCACTGGAAAAAGCCTGATGTGAAACCATCCCATTCCATCCCATTGAGGAGGAGCAGTTTCTATTCTCGGTGAAGAAGAAAGTCAGAAGTTGCATTAAGTCTCTGAAAAGTTGGATTTAGGACAATCAATGCTGCAGCTTTATATCCATCATGAGGAAAATCCTGTTCCTGGGTAGATGACTACTACCTAAAATGTACATAAAGAGGCCATCCAGCTTGCTCAGCTTCTCACAGTCGCTTGGTGAATAGAATGTTTGATGGACAGCAATGGCAGCCTGGTCTTCTCAAACTTCTTTCCTATTTGCAGTGCTTCTTAGTGCAGCTATCTGCCCAGCCTCCCATCTGAGCCTCCACACAGGTGTTACACATCAGGCTTTGTGTTCAATTATGTTGCATTCAGACTGCACCAAATACGGAGTAACGAATCAATGTAAGTTATTATTATATTTTTTGAACAATTTTCTCTGCTGTGTTCATTTTACTTTAATTCTTGGATCCCCTTCAGAATGTAGATGGTTAATCCCTCCAGAAGTCAAGGGGGAGGTACAGAAAGGGTAGCAATCTGGACAAAATTATGTCACACAGTGACATAATAATAGTTCTTGTTCCGTAAGGGTGTGGGTATATTCGCATACATGCATGCATATAAATTGTTGTATATAGTTAAGTTTGTCCTTCTCTGTGTACACTACTTTCAGTTTCTCAGGACTGTGAGGTTCTTAATGAACTCCTCATTGCTTTCACTAATTTGCATTAGCTTACCATAGCAGACAAACTCTTGATGTTCCTGCCCCTTTTCTGATGGATTTTACTAAAATCTCTCTGCTGTGCCAACAGACCATGTATTAACTTCCTGCCATTTAACCACTCATTTATCCACACGAGGATTTACTGATCAGGCTCTCAGTCCAGGGTTTTCCATAAGCTTTTGGTGTGTCTCGTCAAAACCATTTAAAAACAGAAGGCATGTAGATTCTTTCAGATCCTCTGGATGGCACTGCCCTTAGATTATCAGCCGCACAGCTAAGTTGGTGGTAACTGGATTGTGGAAGTGTTGCTCCTGCTTGGAAATACACAGCTCATGCAACACCAGCAGGAACACATCCCAGCAGGAACACATCCCAGTGCGATTTTTACACATTGCACCAATCCCTCTAGAGCGTATTATTTTCCATGACACCTGACTGATGAATACACTGTAATCACACCAGAATAATCAATGTGAGACAGAACATACAGATAGGCAGGCAGGTCTACCTCAGCTGTAACTCTCTCCCTTCCCAAAAGGTGCTGTGTCTGAAGTCTTCACCAGTGCCTGCATCAGAACAGGGTATGAGAAGGAAGTCCCAGTGGTGGGACTAAATTATTGTCCAGATCTTTAGTAACCAGCAATGGGTCCAAAGTATCCCCGAGCAGAAAGAAACATTCCACACCATCTGGTGCTCAGCTTACAAAACAAAGAAACTGTCTCTTGAACCTCATCACCGCAGAAAACTGAGTTGTTTTCACTGATGGAGCTTACTAAAGCCCTGTTGTTAGGACTGCTTGTATTAGATGTGCCTGACACAGTTAGGATGTTTATGTACATAGCAGATATGTTATGTACATTACTAGATAGCATAGTGAACTTCCCTGTCAAAATGGAGGTTCTTCTGATGGGAACTTTCTTACTGAAGAGTGACAGTGAGACATGCAACCCATTACGTTGCCCATTCTGCAGTACATGATTAGATGAATTAGAAGGGTTTTCACCTAATCACATGTATTAACACATGTAGTTCAGGAAGCTGCAGCCCTATGCTAGAAACTGGAACCAAAGATTTCCTAAGATTGGAACTTGCATTCCATTCCTAGCATGGTTAGTCCCGGGTCTTTTTTTGAGTACCTGCTTCAGAGCTTGTAAAGCTAGCCAACAAAACAACATTCCCTGCTCTGTCTTCCAACTTTGATCTATGCTGATCCCAGTGTTAGAGCAGGATTTCTTCCTTCATTTTGTGCACTTCTTGGGTAATGCTATCCACAACATCCCAACTAGCAGGTGATGCTACAGGATTCAGAGGCTGAAATGGGAGCGAGCTCTGTCATCTCATGTACGTGGGTCCTTGAGAATTACACAACGTGCTGTGCCACCATCCTCAGGGGCAGCTCTGACTGCTGATCCCATGGCTGGATCCTGTCTTCAGAGAGCTTGGGGAAGATTTACTTGGGACAGCAGCACACATCATACAGAGGAAAGTTAGTTTAAGCAAGGAAAAGATGCTGGAATACAATGAAAAGCTTGATAGCATTTTCCTTCTGTCTCAGATCTCTGCTTTGAGTGAGAGGTTGATTCTGTTGCTTAAAGCATCCCTTGAGCGTGGCTTCCCCTCAGCTCCAAGACCTGTTGAAGATGATAGAGAATGACTCACTGGCAACAAACAGGACCTGAGGAAATGGCCGCAAGCTGTACCAGAGGAGGTTTAGGTTAGACATAAGGAAAATCTTTTCCTCTCACAGGGTGGCCAGGCGCTGGAATGGCTGCACAGGGACGTGGTGGAGTCGCCATCCCTGCAGTGTTCAAGAGGCACCTGGACGAGGAGCTGCGAGATGTGGTTTAGTGCTTGTGGTAGCAGTGGTGATGGGAGGACAGTTGGACTGGATGATCTCGTAGGTCCTTTCCAACCTTACAATTCTATGACTGACACAGGTGAGCTTACAGCCCCTTCTGTGGGGTCAGAGGAACGTGAGTGGGCTGGGTTCTCAAGAGATTCTATGTGAGCTCCCAGAGAACAGTAAGAAAGCGGCCATTGGAATGCAGCAGCAGTCTGAAATGGTCCGAGTTCTGAACGGCGTGTGGGAAATTCAAAGTTCACGTCGTCACGGCTGAACGCAGGACTAAAGTCCAGTAAATCCCAGAAGAGCAGAGTTGTGGCACAATGCCTCAAGTAGTAAATGGCAATTAACGAACCATGTAACAGCGCAGCGAACGCCGAGTCGCTGCGCTGCCAACGGAAGGGCAGCTGACAAAAGGGCTGCGCGCTCAGCCCAGCGCGCCCGCCCGCCCTGAGGCGGTGCCACGCGCCACACCCGGGCCTGCCCCGCGCATGCGCGGAGCCACCCGCCACTCCGCTCCCGCCCCTCGCCTGGCCGGCCGGCCGCGCATGCGCCGCGTGGCCGTAAATTGGCGCATGCGCGGCGCGGCCCGCCGGTGGTGGAAGCCGTCCGGCTGCGCGATGCATTTCGGGCGTGATTGAGGAAGTAAAATGGCGGACCTCGCGAACGAAGGTAGGCGGGCGCTGCCGTGCGCGGCGCTGCCGGGTCGGGCCCGGCCACACGCAGCCCGCCGCACGCCCGTCCGACTCGGTCCCCGCCATCCGCTCCCGGCCGCCCTCAGCGCGCCGCCTCCGCGCGGCCTCTGCGCGCCCCGGCCTTCGGCTGAGCGGCCGGACAAAGGCGGCGCCGCCGGGCCGCGCTGTGCCCCCCGGGGCCTCCTGCCGGCACGGCCTGCCGGATCCCCGACCGCCCGCCCTGCGCGGGCCCTGCGGGCGGAGCGCTGCCCCGAACGGGACTGTTGGCCGGCCCGGCCCTGCCCGTACTGCTGCTGCTGCCTCTGGCGCGGGGAGCCCTTGGGGCTGCTGTGTGCGGCCGGGTGAGGTGTAACCGACGTTTGTTGGCTTCAAAAGCTCGGGAGTAAAGAACTCCGAGGAGCTGGAGTGCCGTGGGGTGTGCAGGTGTAGTGTGTGAGGGGTCAGCTCCAAGGGGCGCAGGCTGCTGCCGAAATGACATCGGGTATCAGCAGGCTGGGCAGCCCCCGGCGGGCACAGCTCAGCCAGCGTTTCTCCCAGAGTCCCTCAGGAGGGACGCCTGGGGGTGCTGGGTACAGCTCCCTTCTCCTCCTAACAGAGGGAGTTGAATGTGCTGAAGGAGACAAAACACACAGTGCTTTCTTTCAGTGATTTTCCTGATGCTCAGGCTTTCTACCAGTGGTTGTTTGCAGCTCTGATGTTAACATCCTACAGCAGGAAGTTCCTATAGTAGGCATAACTTCTGGACAGGATCCTACCTGCAGCTGACCACAGTGTTACACTGAAAGTATTGGGTGAATCCTCTGATGCAGCATGTGTGGGGCTGTTGGCTCCCAAACTGAAGAGATGCTGTCAGTACTCAAGAAGGCACAATAAGTAGTTGTGAGAACACCAGTAAAATACATCATGATTATTGGTGAGAAATTTGATGATGGTATGTTAGACCTTCATAATGAGTTTTGATGTCTCATGGTGTTCTTTTAGCACCAGAAGTTTGGAAATGGCTGCTGTGGTTCATGCAAGCCCTTCACTTTACTTCTGAGTTTGAGAGGGAAACATTAAACTGGAAGTCATGTTCTAAGTTATCAGCATTCATCATCTGGTACTGCCTTGTCTTGTGTTTATACTTCTAGCCCTGTATATCTGCAGAATCTTGTAGCCTTTCTGTGAAGGAAAACAAGAATCACAATGTGGTATCATCTGTAAGTTTTCATCTCATCTTTCTTTCCTCTTTCTCCCTTCAGGCCTGTCCCTGACTCCAGTGAGTTCCCCTCACCTGCAGATCTCTTTAGCTTACGTCTGCTTCCAGGACCTTCCCCATTACATTTCTTCTCTCCAGAATAACTTCCTTGAGGTTGAGCAGGACCAGCTCAGTTCTGATGTGGTTGGATGCATTTTCTGGTCTTAGCTTTCTTTCCACTGGTTCCATTTCTGAAATACCTGATTTCTTTGCACAGCACTGCAACCACGTGTGCTTATGGTAGTGGCATCCTTCTGCAGGGAGTCAGTAATCTTTCTGTTTGCACCATTTGTGGTCTCTGACATTGCAGTGATGCTCCATGGTGACTTTCATCACTTTCTCCTCATTCTTAAGCATATTCCTGTTAGATTTTTCTGGCCTGTGTGTGAATGTCCTATTCCCCTTACTTGGGTGTTTTCATTTGAATATACGAAACAGCTGTTTCCTTACTAATATTTCTTCAACCTTCTACTTTACATTGGTCTTTTTGTTTCAAGTGTTTGGTGGCTAAATGTTACGTGTGGTTAAAACAAATCAAGCAATACAGCAGCATTTTCTCAGCCATACCTCATAATGAAGTGTGACGTTAATTAGTTCTTGACACATAGGAGGCACAAATATGTAGAAAGTGGTTTCGGTCATTTTTGCAGATTGTTTTTCCTTAACATGCTTAAGCAATAGCTTTTCTTGTTGGTTCCTGCAAGTGAGCCTTTCTTGGGATCTTATCCATCTGAGTTCTGCAGTGAACCTTCCTGTCTTTTGGTCTGTTCTGCTCATATCCTTTCTGGTCACACATACAGAACTCATTCAATATGATGCTTTTACTGTGGCACTCCTTTGTTTCTATTTATTCATAGTTTTTTCCTTTTCTGACAGTATGCTGGCTAGTTTTACTTCCCAGCTTTTTAGTTTTAACACCTCAGTGGTGACTTAGCTTTTAAGTGTTCTACCAATGTCCTTTAAACTATTTTAATGGACAACCTGTAATCCATTTCTTCATAGCTCTATGGATTCAGAACTACCACATTGTCCTCAATCCATTAGTTCCATTAACATTTTCCTTTAACTTATCTTTTCTTCTCTGTTGCACTGGTGAAGCTGCACCTGTATCCCTTGGTAGTGGCTTGATGCATCCTGGCACAAGATTGTTGGATTAAGGGAGGGGTCCTCTTCTGAGAAGGGGGATGAAGAATGAGGTGGCCCAAATTGCACCTTCCCAAGTTACTTTTGTTACACAGTTTCCAAAGAAAAGATCCTGGTCTTGGAATCGATCCCTGCCATGAGAGGAGGTGAGCTGCTGAGTGTGGTTCTAATGAAGGGGTGGAGATGAGCTTCTCTTCAGCTGTTGGAAGTTCCATTAATAATTGGAGTGAAGGCTTGGGGGATTGGCATTATGAAGCTCTGAAAAGCGGTTCTGGAATATTTTGGAATAGTATACACAATTGTTATCATATAAAATAGGTATTGAATGATATTAGGAATTGTCGCGAAAGCCTTTGATGTGACACTCAGTGATTTATTTTTTTTTTAGCCGGATTATGATTTAAAACTGGCACTTGTTATCCACAGATCTGTCAGAGACATTTGATGGAGAACTGGAAAACTTTCTCTTGGGCACGCGCTGACTTCAACCTGAATGCTCTTCTCATTAACTTGCAGTTAATGTACAACTCAGCATTTGTGTATGACTTTCTTTCTCCTGTGTCTGTGCTTTGGGTGATAGGATCTCTTCGTGTTGAGCATGAATTATTTCTTTGCAGTCATTGAAGAGGTATAAGCTTTTCTCAGGGCCAGGGTGTGATTGCTTCTTTCCCATTTCCTGAGCAGTGGGTGCCTGTGCTGCACACCCTGTGTTGGCAGACTCTGGCACTTCTGTAGGAACCAAGCAATTTTAGTTTATGAGGTAACTGTCTATGAACTGCAGCAATTTGTTGTTGTCACCTTTTGGAGTGCTCTGTAAGTACTTCTGCTGCAGAATAGTTGGATTTCTTCACTGGTTTCCTTCTTCCCATCTGCTGAGAACAAGCTACTTTTTTTTTCCCCCATTCCTGATATGTAACGTTTGCTTTGTCAAGTAGCTGAAGTGAAACTACCTAAAGCAGAGGGAAATCTGCTGATGCCATCAGGGCTTGGGAGATGCAATAGCACCTTCTCTGTAAACACAACAGGTTTGTGCTTTAAAAATGGTATTAAATTTTCTAATTAATCTTAGATATGTAAAAAGCACTCTGCATTCCCATACCAGCTGTGGCACTGCTTTGTAGAAGTTGCCTGCTTGTTCATATGATCAGAGACAAAAAGGGTTTGAAGATGAACCAGACTGTCACGTGCTTTACATCTTGAAAGCAGGGCTCTCAAAGTGAGGCAGAAGTATCTAGAAGTATATATTTTTTTCCACTTTTCCCCTACCATCCTGTTGTAATTTATATTCACCATGACTTCATTGGTAAACTTTGGATGCGAATGATCCAGTGTCATTAAGTATGATTGGACTTTGCTTATGGGGTCTTTTTCAGTGATCAGCTGTTGGCTTCGTAGCTTTCTTCTTGCTTTCAGTCTATTCATAGCTATTGGAAAAGAAGAGTCTTGTTTTGTTATCTGCCTCTTTGGAGTTCTATAAAACAACAAATGCCCAGGTCTCTTTTTTAGCTCATCCTTCTGGCCTGATTGTTCTGCATTGAGTAAGTTGCATGGTATTGAGGTGGGAGAATATTTTTGCTGAAATAAGCATAATTTAAATTTAACCTTGAATTATTTTAGATTTAGATTCAGCCTTTAGTCAAAGGAACTTGTCTTCTGTTCTGAGCTGGCACCCATCGTGATCAGAAGTTACTTCTGAGGTGGCAGTGGCCAAAGCTTCCTGTGCAAAGGCTCTGTAAGTCAATGCCTATGGACACGCATTTCTTTCTGCTTGCTACACAACTTATTTTTTCTTTAGATGGTCCCTAAACTATCAAATGTAATAGCAGTAATGATCCTACATTAGATCTCATTCAGCAGAAGCTTTTAAAGCAAGGAAGAAGTTATTTTAGTGAGTACTGTTATTTCAAATGTATCTTTATTTTACCAGGTGGCATTTCACTGGAGAATGTTGGAAAGATATTTGTCTGTGGGGAGTTGTATAGCTGCATTATATCTGATTGTGCACACAAGTTTATTCCTTAAAGGAATTGAAAGTCTTTGTGTGGTTGTGTTCTCAAATCAAATATCTTCTGCTTACGTGCATTCTTTAGAACATTTTTTTTCCTTTGTAAGTTGTTGCCATCTTCAGCTGACACTGATTTAGGTTCCACCACTTTTCTCTTCCATACTGTGGTATGAAGAGAATACCTGCAGTTATTTTCCAAGTTTGATACTGTATGGGCTTCTATTTCATGGTGATTCTGAGTGGTACCAAAGCAGGCAGGAAAAGCAGATTGTGTGTTAAGGAGGTAAGGTATGCTGAGAGAATGCCTGCAGTCCCTATAACCAGCACTTAATTCTGTTTGCAACTAATGTGCTTTTCTTTTCTTGCCCATTGTTTTTATTTTTCCAGATATTTTTGAATACACATTTTTTGCCCAAATCTAATGGAAGGGTAAAGAAAGCCTTCTGAAACATGTGAATAGTCTTTTTTCCTTTTATCCTTAGAAGCACTGTAGTTCTTCTGCAGCTGATTTGATGTTGCGTGCTGATCTCACATCCACCCTTAACAAGGATGCGTGTCGGTGCTTCTCCATAGCCCGGTCTGTAGGGATCCCCCTCAGCCTTTTTTTTTCCCCCTTGTGTTCTTTATTACGTGATAGCTGGTTATGCTGTTCATTTGTGCATTGGCTTCACACCATCTTGGTGCCCATCCTGCCCCCACCAGCTGAGCTGGAAAGGATGTGCTGCTCTGGGCTGGGTTTAGGCTGGGCTCTGGCAGCTGTAGCAGGATTGTGTCTTATTTCAACTCTGAAATAAGTTATTTGATAATTAAGTGGGTCTGTTAATGAGCTAAACCATCCTGGAGAAAAGATAGAGCTGGTCTTTCTATGACTGAGCAGAAAAGTGTAAGTATGGGAGGAGTTGGGAAGGCCCTGTGCTGCTCCTTGGAAGGGTTAATTCAAGTCTTCTTTAGAACTTGGAGTGCTTTGAGGTGGAAAGTGGAGGAATGGAAGCAAATTATAACACGTCCATGAAAATCAGCGTCTGCCCCCTGGTCTTTCAGGATGTTACTGCCAGGCTTTCTTAATGTGCCCTGCCTCTCCCTTAAGGACCAGGGCCTGGAGCACTGGAGGTGATGTGAATGTTTTCTGAGGAGTGCTCTTTCACTGCCCAATGTATGTTTGATGCTTTAAACCTGTCTCCACAGTACCTTTATATTTCCACATCATCTCATTTTTTTCTCCTTTCTGCTTATCTGCTGATTTGTGTGTATCTGTTGATCTGCCGTGTATTCCTGGGGTCTGCAGCTACGTTAGCATAGTAAACAAGTAGAACATGCATGGAGAAAAGATGTGTGAAGATCCTCCCCAAGGAGCAGAACAAGCACGTAACTCAGTGGTCTCAAACAATGCAGGAAATCCTCACTTCAGCAGAAATATCCCGAATTTCTAGATTTCAATAGACTGGAATGTACTGAAGAAGACTTGGGAGAGCTGGGAATGAAAGTGAAGAATTCCTGCTCATAGAAAAGTGCTCTTACAGGGCAGCTGGCAAAGCAAGGACCCTGCCCTCCTGGGGAGGGGCTCCTCTCAGCTTATTTTCTGTTCTCTCAGCATCTCTTCCTCAATGTCATCCCCAGCAAATATCCTCTGGGTATCAGAATGTCCTCTGGAAGTTGAGATTCAGAAAATCCATTATGTAATAAGAATTGCACATGTAACATTTCCTTAAAACAATTTCTGTAGTGCATTGCAGTTCATGTGCTGACCCACAGATATGCAATAAATTATCATTCTGAATCTCTTTCATGAGCTAACAATCTGACTGCCCTTATCCTTGTTGTTCGTGGGTATGATCAATTTTTTTTCTCTCCATTCATATATTATAATGAGCTCAAGTCAAGGCACGTGTTTTCAGCTTGTATGCGTTGCGCTTTGTAGATCCAAGCAAGGGCTTGCTTGCCTGGTTTCCATGCAGTCAGACACTGCTGCACTTCTAAATGTAATTTGGAATGAAGTTCCAAAAGAAAATATTTGCAGTGTTGTAGGTGCCATCAAAAGTGGATTCATAAAGGCACGTGTTTTTTATATTTGTGCACTCAGAATATCCACTGAGTTTTTCAGTTATGGGTCGTTTCATGCTGCAGTGAAGGCTTAGAACTTTGTATTTCAAAAATAACACTCAACCCCTGTGTTGTGTGGATGTCAGCTGTTGGAGGGGTAAAATGAGGTCACGTTTTGTCTAGTTGGAGGGAACGTGGCTGACCTTGTAGCCTCAGATACAGCTGTATGTAGTCATGCATCAGAGTGAAAGAAATAAAAACCTCACTTAATGGTATGCGTGATATGAAGATGTGATACCTCTGAGCAGTTGAGGGAGTAGCCTCTGATTTGGTTTTCAAGGCCTGTGAAGCAAGCTGATGAGTAGGTTTAATAGTGTATTTGTGTAGTTCTGGTAATACATAAGGCATATTGATTGTTAATTACTTGCCAGTGAAATGGATGATAGCTCTTTTGCTGTACATAAACCTTACCACGCTTGGTGGAATGGAAGCACAGTAAGTTGATGTGAAAATATGGCTTGTGCTTGCACTGGTCACACATCCAGTAAATCTTTTTCAGCACAGCAAAGGGTGAGATCAGTCTTTGGAGAAGAATAGAATTGATGCAGAATTTGTCACCTCTATGGTGGTAGTGACTGGGAAAAGCACTGGGGAGGGAGGGAAGGGGAGGAGGAGAAATAAAACTGTTTTTGAATCTAGAATGTCAGTGAGGTGATTCTGCAGAGGGGGTTTGGTTTGAGGCAGATATTGGAATAATAGAGAATGTCCTACAAGGGATTGGTTTTGTTCTGTTTACTGAAAAGCAGAATGGAAAAGGACTTGTGCAGAGTCCAAGTGTTTTCACAAGGGAAACATCAAATACCTCTCATTAATACGGTGTGTACATAAATGCATTTAGGGAGAACAGCACTTGTGTTCTTGTTTTTAATTTTTTAACAAGTGAGGTAGTGAGTGATCCATGGTAATAATGTCTTTGTCTTAAAGACTTTACTGAAAGTGCTTCCTCAGAAAAGCTCAGAAAATGTGCAGTGTGTTCTGAAGGTCACGTCAGGAAAGAAACACAGTGCTCCTCTCTTGCCTTGGGCTGGAATGAAGTGAGCTCTTCCATGTGGTCTTGGTGCAGAACTCAGAAAGGACAAGAAGTGAAGGATGTTCTTTATATAATTACCAACGCTGCTTGTATTTTTCAATATAAAGAGCAGACCTCTTGTGCTTAGAGAGGTGAGTCTGTATGAGAAATGCAGTCATGTCTTTAAAGGCTTTTATATACGTGTAACAGAAATGGAATTAAGTGCACAATATTGGTTAACCTCTAAAAAAATAATGCTGATTTAGTGCAAGCAAAACTGCTAAGCAGTTGTGTAACATAACAGGGCACTCACACATCCTCAGCAGCATTTTGGATCCGTGGTGAAGAATGTGCCTGCTGCAGTGGGATGGTGGTGAGCAGAGCTGTCATTGCTGTAATTGCATCATTAGTTAATATTAAAACGCTCTAAATGCTTTTTTTCATCGCCTTGAAGAGAAGGATCATAAGTTGTAAGATCTTCCTCCCTGCATGAGCCAAACCTGGCCAGGAGGGGAATCCAGAATTGTCCCTGCCTTGTGGGGATGTGGCTGCTCCCTCCAGAAGGACCTGTTATACTGCCATAGACTCTGCTTTTGGGGCAGGTGTAGCAGTTAGGTATTAGATTCAGTAGATTCAGTTACAGTGTTTTTGTTATTTCTGGTTATGGCTCTTAGAAGGGTGGAAAATCCACCCTCAAGTAATGTAGAGTTGTTAGAGTAATTATTTTGCCAGCTATCGTTTCACTTTTTCACCACAACTGACCCAATAGCTCTTCTTAAACCTTTAGTCTTATGAAGTGCCTAATCTCGTTCATGGAACCAAATAATTGGCACGATGGAGCTTTAGCACAGAAGTCAGCCCAGGTACAGCTCTCCCTGCACTCCTCCCCAGGAGCAGTGTCTCACTCTGAAGGCAGACTGAAACACTGTCCTCGTGCTCAGCCCTACGAGCACGGAGCAGGGTTGCTGACTGCACCAGTATGCATCCAGTTTCTTTAAATACCGTCACATGAGATCACTTGGATAAGGTTGAGGAAAGTCCATTTCTCCTCTGTTTCACATCCTACCCCCTCATTTTGGCACCATTAAGGGCAATGGAAAACAAGCATTAATTCCAGAAATTCACTTTGCTCTTGAACTGAATGTTATGTGTATTTAGAAGCATATCCTGCTAATGTTTCAATCTGAACTTCAGGTAGGCTTTTCCAGTTGCACAGGTAAGGCTGGTACCTCTAATAATGTACATAGGATGTTTGGTTTAAATTGTTTATTTGTAAATAGTTGGGTGCAATTGCTTATCTGTAAATATCCTTCCTACTCCCTGAGTAAAAGATTTCTTTCCAACATCTAACCTAGTTCTATCCTCTTCTAGTGTAAAGCCATTTCCCCTTATCCTGTGTCTTATCTACTGCATTGGTGCAATACTGTGGGAAAGGAAGAGCTTTTGCTGACAACTTGTGTTCAAGAGTTACGCTCTCAGCAAAGAGCCTCTTGCTGCTGATGCCCTCACATAGGATGGAAGGGCTGCTCTGAAATAGATCTGGGGAGAGCAGAGGATCTGTGCAGCTTTTGGATACCAGTTGTATTTCTGTTCTTAATACACTTCTGCCTTTTGAAGATGAAGTCATTATAATAATTACGTCTTGCTAAGAACCAGTGGAAGCAACTTGTGTAACTGAAATGTAACTGTATCCTTGAAGTTTTTTCTGTAAAAGTTTTATAGACCGTAATGCTGTCATATTAGTTAATAATTAATATGGTTGGAAAAAAAACCCAACAATTTCTCTTTTTGCAGAAAAACCTGCCATTGCTCCACCCGTCTTTGTATTTCAGAAGGATAAAGCACAGAAGGTAAGGAGATGCTGATAATATATATTATTGCGTTTCATCCTGTAGCCCTAATTCATGTTTCTTGGTGAGCAGTCACTTGTGTGTTGTTCTGAAGGTGATGATGGACAATAGAGCATTAACACCATAAGGAGGCACAGGGTGAAGCAAAGGGATGCAAGTGGGGGGAGAGAGGTGGTGATGCTGCCACGAGTTGGGTAGCTCTTCAGACAGAAAGCACACCAAATTGAGGAGAGAAACTATCTTCAAAGCTGTACCTTGAAAGAACAGGTGGCCAAGGAGTGCTTGCAGTTTTCTGATAATTGAGCAAAGAGAGAAAATCCATGGTCTAGATCATTGCTTTTGACATCAGTGTATTTGTATATCATATATCCTTGTGTAGTAAGCTATGAGGTGTCCAGTTTCTTTGGTAATCCCTCTACCCGTGTGTGCCTGTCCCCTGCCTTTGGATCTGAAGCAGCAGTGTTGAGGTAAGAGCTGTGCCACAGTCTGCTGGGCAATGGAAGTGCTGGGGTGGGCAGGATGAGAGGCACTGAGCAGAGCCCAGAGGTTCCCTCTGACCTGCAGGAGCACTGTGAGCTGTGCACACCAGGAAGGTTATGGAGTCTCCTTGGAAATACTTGGAAGCCACCTGGACAACCCACTACTCAGGGTGTCCCTGTAGAGCTTGTGTGTGCCTGCAGGAGGAGCAGAGCTCAGGAGGGGAATGGCAGTGTTGAAGGAAGTGAGGCCTTCCCTTGAGTGGAAATTTTTGCTAAATGGAAATAGATGTAATGGAAAGCTATGTGTGCAGGGTGCAGCGTAGGTGGCATGCCTTGTCACTTTGAAACTGAGATGCAAAATGGTGTGGATGAGTGCTAAGAGGTAGCTGTTCTTGCATTGTTGTGTTCAAATGGTAAGTCTGCTAATTTCTGATCTTGAGAACTAATTTTTTGTGGAAAAAAGGTAGGAAAATAGAAAGAAATGGCTGTATTAAAGTTATGCCTGGTGAATAATGAGTATAAGATGTTAACATTTGGAAAATAATAATAATCAAGGTTACCCTTTCTTAAGCAGGAGCTGGTGGGGATCAGCAGGTGTGTAGCCGTGTTCTCTTGCTCCAAAGGGTATCAGGTGTCATTGCCTCATGGCTTCAGCAGCACTTACATGTGGCAGTTCCCCCATCATAGCCAATCTTTCACAGTAAACTTCCTCAAAAGTGCAAACGTTTTGAGAGAAGTCTTTTTGAATGGTTGGGTTGTCATCTGTGCAACCAAAATATCCTCTCAAATGTTTGAGGAGGAATACTGCACTGTCTGTAATCGGTAGTTTCTCTTTGGTTTGGAACATGTGCCAGGCTTGAGCTTTCTCGTGGGTTTAGTAAGCACGTTCATCAGCAGGTGCTTGAAATCTTTCATCAGATTAGAAAGGATTAGATCTGCTGTGGTTTTTTTTCTAATATTGGCTAACACAGCTAAATATATCCTATAGTAAATGGTACTTTTGAAACATTCATTCTTATTAGTTTTTATAGTGACAACTTTACGTGTACTTAAGAGTGGAGGGGGCATTAGTTTGGTTCACATTTCCTTCTAGGAGCTCCTGATCACAGCTTGGCTGCTCCTGAAGTTCCTTCTGAATTGCACAAGCATGTTTTCTTCTTGTGTGTCCTTCAGCTTGGCAGTGCTTCCATGGATTGGAAGTGGTGATCCTAATGTGCAGAGCTATGCAGAGCACTGTGCTACTGTGTCATTCCTTTGCTGGCCTGCTTCTTCAGGACAAAATTAGCAGGTCTTGGGAGCTTATGTTTCTTTGTGTAGCATCTATGCAGAGTGCAGACCTCCATTGTTGGGCTGCAGGAAGGGCTCATTGCATTCCGTTGGCTTCAAGAATCTTTAAGAAGTGCAGATTTAATGTTGCTTCAGACATGCTGCCTCAGCATGAGCCAGCAGTGCATGTTTGCAGCCTGAAGGCTAAGCAGTACCCTGGGCTGCACCAACAGAGGGATGGCAGTGAGCGGGGGAGGACAACAACTGTTTCCTCTGTTCTGCCCTCGTAAGGCCCCATGTGCAGTACTGGGCCCCCAGCACGGAAGGGATGTGGGGCTGTGGGAATGGGTCCAGAGGGGTGCCATGAAGATGCTCAAGGCTGGAGCCTTGAAGGCTGGAGCACCTCTGCTATGAGAGCAAGCTGAGAGTTGGGGTGGTTCAGTCTGGACAAGAAAAGGCTCCAGGGAGACCCTGTTGTGGCCCTTGAAGAAGGGAACTTAGAAGCTGGATTGGGGACCAACTTTACATGGGCAGATAGTGATAGGAGAAAGGGGAATGGCTCTAAACTAGAAGAGGGGAGATGCTTTGCTCAGAGGGTGGTGAGGCCCTAGCACTGCTGCCCAGAGAAGCTGTGGGTTCCCTGTTGGGCAGCCTGATATGGTGGGGAGCAACCAGCCCATCATAGGGTCCTTTCCACCCACGCTGTGATCCAGGATTCTGGGGTGGAAGATCTGATTTCATCTCCATAGCTGCTGCTGTGGATGCTGTGTGCCATCCTGATGGGATGTATGGAAGCCCATGGCTGAAACAAACAACATGCAGGCACAGAGGGCAGAAATGCGTTAGGAGCTGATGGAGGTACTGTGTTGTGTTGATGCTGATGGACATCTGTTAACAGAGGAGTTTTTCCTGGAGTAATGCTTAGAAAACTTTAAGATAGTTGACATACAAGGTTTGTATGTAGTTTAGTAACTGATCAGTTACTACAGTTGTGCAGTTTATGTGGCAGAGTACACACAGTGGTGGCTCAGAATGATGTCTTAATTTAGCTTTCAGTGAGCAAATTGTGGGTCTTTTAACTGAGTTTCATGGTAGCACACAGTAGCAGTGTGAAGCTGGATGCCCATGGCTAGTCCATGCTTACTTAGGAGTCTTTTTGTTCCCTGAGACAGTTGCTGTCTCCAGGAGGAGCAGGAGTGGCTCTGCACAGTGACTCTGGATGCTCTGAGGAGTTGGTGCAAGCAGCAGACCAGGTAGGTCTGTTGGGAAATAAATTAGACAGCGTAGGGGTGGTTCATGCGCTCCTTTATAATTGGCCTTGCATTTTAATTGTCACTTATTCAGTCCTTTCAGGCTTTGTTTAGAACTTTTCTTGCATTCGTTGCAGTCCCCTCTGTTTCCACATCTCTTGAATGAGTCTCCCATTATTTCTTACCTCCTTAATTTCTTACAAGAACTGTGTACAGTTTTCCCTCAGCTTTGTATCTGAATGATGGCAACCAATTATCTTGCTTGCTTCTTAATACATTGACAGAATTGACAGACCTTTATCTGAAAAACGGAGCTTCTGTTGCTGACGCTGGTTGGAAAATTGCATCAGCTTTTGAGGACTCATAGCTGTTAAGATCAAAAAGCAGCATAAAGTCCCAACCTCATTATGTTAAGCATGACACATCACTATTACTCCATTATCTATAGTGATAACTTACACATGAGCTACAGCGTGCATTTCTGAGCACTTTTGGAAGGAAAGATTTTAAGGATGACTCTGAGGAAGGGCAGTTTGTGTACTTGGGTCACATCCCATCCTCAGTAGCCCTACAAAATAATGCAGTGTTAAAGGGGTGAGTGGCAGCTGGTCATAAAGGTTAAGGGTTAGTTGTAGAGCGAGCAAGGATTTACATCCTTCAGATGTTGAATCTGTTATCTGACTCAACTGAGGAGGGTTAATAATAGATGTTTCAGCTCCAGATGTTCTGAGAATGGTGGCACTCCTGTGTAGTCTGGAAAGCAAGAGCATAAAAATGTGGATGTTGGTCAGGGCACAAGTGGTGAAGTCTAAATTGGATTTTGTGTGATTTGGAAATGCTTGGTTTTTGGTGTTCAGAGGAGGGGTTATGAACCATTACTCTTGTTGTGATTTGACTTGTTGGGTTTGGCTGGTGTTAGAGAAAAATTATGGAGGAAGTAACTTGAGGGAGAGGCACCAATATTTTGCAGGTTGTCTTAGCAGCCATAGTACGGCTGCTTCAAGTTCTGTCAGGTAGAGCTAACTGAACTGTGCTCTAAGTCAACAGTGTGCTTAAAAGTGATGCTTAAGCTGTGTACATACTGCTGCAATGGAAAGAACAATCATAAATGTGCTTGTGACTGTTGTAGAAGGCAGAGCTTTAAAGGAATATGAAGAGGGTGATACTGAAAGCTTTTGAGGATGCCAGTGAGAGTTGTTCAACTCCTGAAACAGGAAAAGATTGGGAAACTGGGAGCTGTCTCTGTGGGCAGCTGGATGTGGATAGGGAAAATGAGGAAAGGAGTCCTGCATGACATATGAAGTTAAGGACTGGGGATAAACCAGACTGATACAAGAATGCTTATCCAGTCTTTGCTTAAAAGGAATGTTACTTCCTTCCCTGTATGATATTTTGCATCACATTAATCTATGTATTTTTCCATGTGTCTTTCACTATGTCCTGAGACACAGCAGAAGCAGAGTCTCCAAGCAGTCTTCTGTGTATTTAGTCTGAATGTTTTATTTTCATTTATTTTAGTGAAATAATTTTAGTTTGATCTGGCTGAGCAAGGTGATGTGCTATAATTGACTTGCTAACATTATTTCTGAAGCGAGGAGATTAGCAAATATGTCTGACAGTGAGCATGGCTGAAGACTAACATGAGTTTTGAGGGAGTCTGTGATTTCTTTTGAATGTGCTTTTTTGAGAACAGTTGCATAAATGTCTTGGAGTTCTGATAGGAGAAATCCTTGAGGCCTTTGTCAGATTTGCCTTCTGGGATGTAAGTCATGTCCTATTAGCACAGTCTGGCCACTTGCAGTGGTTTTGTTCCATTTGATACATATTTTAAAAAATACATTTTTATGAATTTGGTCAAGAAACACTCATCTTGGAATCAGATTTTTCTGCAAAAGGGGTAATTGCATTAATGGCTATTTTTAGTTCTTTTTGATCCCTTCCAGCTCTTGTGCTGTGAAAGTCTCTGCGTTTGCTCCAGATTTGTATTCCTGCTTCTGTTCCCCAGAAATTGTGTATTTCTGAAGATTCCAAAGCCATTTAGCTATTTTTCATGTGTAAATGCTTCTGTAACCTTTCCTATGCACTATTTGTCATCTTAAAGGCACTAAATCTTTCCCAATCATCTTCACCTCAGTGTCTGTCCAGTTTCCCAGTCATTCCATTGACCCATGGTGACAGCTCACCCCAAGGTTGGTTTGGTCCATGTACAAGGATGGTGGTCTTTGAACTCCCAGTGTCTTTGGAAGCTTGCTCATTCTGCTCACTATTGGCAAAAGGGGTGGAGGCTTAAATACCCAAACAGTTTGTGATTGAGAATTGGGAATCAGACTGAATCCAGTTAACTCAAGGCTGGACATTGGGAAATATTGCTTTTCTTAAAGAGTGGTCAGGCATGGAATGGGCTGCCCAGGGAGATGGTGGAGTCACTGACTCTGGAGGTGTTCAAGGAACGTTTGGACTTTGTGTTGAAGGACATGGTTTAATGAGAACTACTGATGATAGGTGGATTGTTGGATTGGATGATCTTGTGGGTCTTTTCGAACCCTGGTGATTCTGCGATTGCTGCCAGAGGGCTGTGGTCAGTGGATCTGTGTACGCATGGGGACTGGTGACAAGTGGTGACCAGGGTCCACCTTGGGACCACTGCTCTTCAGCATCTTCATAATGGCATAGAAGTGGGATTAAGAGCATCCTCAGCAAGTCTGCTGATGGCAGCAAGCTGAGTGGTGTGGGAGATGCAAAGAAAGAAAGGGTGCCATCTGGAGGGACCTGGACAGGCTCAGAAAGTGGGCCCAGGTGAACTCAATGACATTCAGTGGGGCCAAATGCAAGGTGCTATACTTAGGTCAGGGCAATCCTGTCTGTATGTACAGACTGGGAGAAGAATTCTTTGAGGACAGCACTGCAGAGAAGGACCTGAGGGTCCTAGTGGATGAAAAGCCTGACATGAGCCAGCAGTGTGTGCTTGCAGCCCAGAAGGCTAATGGTATCCTGAGCTCCATCAACAGGGGTGGCAGTGGGCAGGAAGGGGACTGAACCCCTCTGCTCTGCCCTTATGAGGCACCGTTGGTAGTATTGCATCTGGCCCTGGGGTGCCCAGCACAAGGAGGATGTGGAGCTGTTGGTCCAGAGGAGGCCATTAAGATGCTCAGAGGGCTGGAGAACCTTTGCTATGAGAACTGGCCAAGGAAGCTGGGGGCGTTCAGCCCGGAGAAGGGAAGACTCTGGGGAGACTTCTTTGCATCTTTCCAGTACCTGGAGAAACTTTATAAGCAGGAGGGAGAGTGGTTTTTGTGTGGGTAGATAGTGATAGGACAAAGGGGAATGGCTTTAAACTAGAACAGGGCTGGGGGGCCTTAGAGTCCCTTCCAACCTAACTGTGATTCTGAGGTGTGTGATGAGTGCAGGGGCTGTTGCATGTGCAGCCTGTGCATGGGAAGGAAGGCTGGAGCTGCTGAGTGCTGAGCTGCCTGATTTGGGGAGAGGGTTGGGAGAAATGTGGGCTGGGGTTGGGGCTTCAGAGCGAGAGGACTGGAGGGGACGTGCAACACAGGCTGTGAGGGAAAATGACATCTCTGGTGCTGCTTACATAATTGCTTCAGTAGTTTGTGATGTGGAAAACTTTATTCTTGCATTTTATTTGTTTGGCTCTCTCCCTTTAAAGAGAGGTCAAATGATCTGCAGGTGAAGTAGAAGTACTCCTAATTTTGGAAGTTGGCCTTATCTTAATAAAAGGGTCTCAGAGTAATAGACAACATCTCTCATTCTGTGGGGTTTTAAGGTAGTGTTTGGGCTTATTAGTAACAGCTTCCTATTTAAAAACAAGCATTTTGAAAATCCAGCATCCCCAGCTTCATCTGAAATGTGTTGCCCTCCCTTTTGACCTTTTTGATGCTTAAATCTTACAAGAAATTACTATCATTAAAAACTTGATGGAACTGAAATAACCCCACTGTTAAAATGGCATTTACTGATAACTGTTCCTGTTTAAGACCAGGCCATGTCACAGCTGAGGAACTTCAGACCCCTCCAGTTTATGAGCTGCTGCTCATTTGGAAGTTGAAAGGTTTGTGGCAGAAGTGGGAACACAGCAAATGACAAATCCCAGTACTGTGCACTGGGTATTCCATCATGCTCTGCATTGAGATAGGCGTACTGACTTCTTAATTTACAAAATAAAACATTTCTGTTGCTTTTCAGGGTATTCATCCCCACATGAATGGGTGAGGATATTGTCCTGTGTGAATGTTATAACAACAGATTGTGTGGATTACTTTATAATCAACCCCACCTCCTCTCAAATATGGTCAGAATAACCAGCAAAGTGCAATTAGTTACAAGTACTAATTGCTGTTTGTGGACCAGGTGCTGAAGCAGCTAGCTGCCTGAAGTGCTGCTGAGCCCTGTGGGTATAGCAGGGCTCCTTTGGGTGCTGCAGCAGTTCTAGCCAACTTCCAAGCAGTGCATTTGCCCCCGTTGGTGTTCCCTATGGGGAGGAAAACTAATTCAGTCAGCAGAGCGTAGCATATCTTAACTGGTACCTCAGCAGCAAGTAATTCCTTCTGCCAGGCCATTAAAACATGGTAATTTAGGAAGAGATCAGTATGTCCTCTCACTGGGATGGCTGCTCCATTGGGTGGCACCTTTGCATTGAAGGGACATTGTCTTTTTTTACTCCCAGTCCCCTGCAGAGCAAAAAGCTTTATCGGATTCAGGTGAGGACCCTCAGGGAGAGGTTGAGTCCCCCCGCCATGCTCTGGGTCACAAAGAACCAGCTGAGGAGTGTAACCCTGATCTTCCTGCTCCTGCTGTGGCCTCAGCCAGTGATACCCCGAGTCCTACTGCTGCAGCCCAGCTTGCTCCTATTCAACAGGAACTGGCAGGGGTAAGTGCAAACCTGCTGAGGGGATGGAGGACACATCCCTTCTGCTAGGAGTCTGTTATGTTAAATGTAGGCAGCGTAGCTTGCTTGGTTTCTGTGATCTCCTTAGTCCCCTCTAAGCGTTGTTTCAGTTGGTAGAAATGAAGTTTGCTTGGGTTGTCTTATTGGGCAGAATGGCAGAAGGTGTATCAAGGATGAATTCCAAAGTTTACTGTGTCAACTGAGCATTTGCTGAGGGCTTGTGTGGATGAGTGAGAAGCGGCTGTGAGGTGGTGCCTCATAGCAGATGGAGGGGGATCTTTTATTCCTTCCCAGCCAGAGAGCTGTGACTTGACCAAGTGAGCGGCTGATGCTGTTTGGTTGTGAGCTGCAGCTTGTCATGCTGACCAGTGATGTTCTTAGTACGTTAACAGCACCAAGAAAAATGTTAAAGGAGAATTCTGAAGTTAAGTACTTAATAGAGAAAGCTCTCAGTAATTCCAGCATAAGCTATTTCTACTAATGGTGCAAGTAAACACTTTTGGAAAGATGAGATGACAATGACTGCTACCTGCAGCCTTTCAGAGCAATTTTCAAGTTGGGCTTATCCTTTCTGCTTGGTGAGCTGTGGTTTCCTGGTGCAGGTGAATTGTCAATCCTCATTGTGACTGCATATGCTGGGTATGTTTCATTGAGTTCTGCCTGTGAAGGCCACTCCACCTGTGACATGTGCTGCTTTTCCTTGCCCAGAAGTGAGCCTTTTTGGCCCAATTTGGAATGAATAATCTTCACAAGGTACCAAACAACTGGGAGAGACAACAGCTGCCAAACTTGCTGAAGTTGCTTTGGCAGGGGGGTTGGACTCAATCTCTGAAGGTCCCTTCCAACCCCTGTGATGCTGTGAAGTTGGCATAGGCTCATGTCTGTAGCATCTGCAGTGCATGTAATGGCCCAGAAACAGCGTGAGGAAGCAGTGGGTGTAAGGGTGCAGCGATGGCACTTGAGTACTCATTGGTTAATCTGTTCTCACTTCCACTCTTAAAAGACACTGGGGTGCCTTTAGAGAAGGTAATTTGGTTAATTAGAGATGTATAAAAACTGCAGGAGCTGCTATTGAGAAATAATTCTAACTTTTCTCTAGCTGGATTTCTAGGTAGGGAAAAGGAGTAAGGAAGCTCTTACACTGGGGGAGCAAGCTGGGGGGTAGATCGGGCATTACTGGTTTGTCTCACAGCTCCTGATTTCCAACAGCTGAATAGAGGGGAGTCGTTTGGGTCACTGTAATGGTTCTGTATGAGGTGAGGTGGTCCTGGCTTTCCATTCTGTTGTGTAGTTTGTGTGTAAAAACAGTGCTGTGAAGTTCAAGTGATAGCCTGCAAAGGGAGGCCTGAAACATTTCCCTGGGGCAGAGCTGTTCCTGACTGGTGAGTGCCCACCTGATGGAGTGAGTGTTGCCTGCAAGTGTTTTTGTAACACCTAAGGTATGTTATGTGATGTGTCTTTTGCTGGAAGCAAGTATTAAAAAATAATAATTACAGTGTTGTTGAGAAATGCTTTTTAAATTCTGCCTATTCTCTTTCATTTAAAAATAGAAAATCCAGCCTGAATATCTGAAATGTGCAGGCAGAAGTTCCAGATTGGGACAGAACAGCATGATGGTCTTCGGTCTGTCTGTGCACAGGGGTCAGCCTAAAGGATTGAGATTTTTTTCTTCCCTGATATTTAAATTCTGAAGTCTGTGAAAGATATAAATCTGTTAGTTTCTTTTTTCTGGTTGGAGTTATTAGCAAACCCTTAATTTTCAGCAGTAATCAACAGCTTTAAGGGTGTTAATTGAGAAGATGGGAGGTAGCATACCAAGTGATCTATTGCTGAGATCCCTGGGGAAGAATAATAAGACAGCGGAAGGTCTGTTATCTGTGCAGCAGCTGCTCTGCCAGGGGTTACAGGATTGGTTTGGGATATTGATTCTCCTTTTACACTAAATGTAGTGATGTGTCCAGTTGTGCATGCATCAGTTAATAAAATGATAAATGAATGTGATCATTTGGAGCTTGTGCTGTGTGGGTTTGACTTCTTTTGAGACAATGCTGCATACTATATTCCCGATGCTTGGGTATCATTAAACAGTTTTAGGTGGTTTTGGAATTCAGAGGAAGAGACTTTTTTGATTTTAAAGGAGTTTTGCACATACAGATGTGCAGTTTGCTTTCTTTACAAAATAGCTTTTTTCTGACTTTGAGTACTGATTGCTGAAATAGAAAATGTCATTGATTTTCCAATTAGCTTTATCTTTCAGGAAAGTAGTGTTTATTGACAACAGGTATGCCTAATAAAGCCTTGTTTCAGTAATGTGGACTGCTTGGTGAGTTATGTGGGGGTGCCGTGGATCACCAAGCATAGTATTACTGTGTTAGATTGACAGATGAGTGTTGATATGAGGAAACTGTATTCCTAAAACTGTAAATAGCTCTTAATTCTTTACTGAGATATCAAAGATGTGTTACTAGGATGCTGGTAAAGTCACCATGCTCTTCTGTTATCTTGAAACTGAAAACTGTATTGCATAGGTAAAGGCGAATGGATGTGGATGGATGTGATGAGAAGGTGATGGTGCTGCTCCAGTCGCCTCCTGCAGCACATGAAATTCCCTGTGGGCAGTTCTGTGGGAACAGGGAAGTGATGTGAGCTGGGCGAATAGAAGTGATGTAGGAATTCTCGAAGATATGAAAACTTTCTTCAAATACCTAATATTGTGGTAAAGAGCACAATATCGTGGTGCTGCCTGCTTTTCCTTCTGGTGCTCTGGAAGGTGCTGTGGTAATGTCCATTGCTAATTCCTATCAGAACATCATAGGGTGTTTTGAAGAAGGTCTCTCCAACACTGGTTTTGTTGGAGGAACTGATGTCAGTTATGTTAATTAGAAAAAGTGCTTTGGAACAAACTCCTAACTAACATCTTCAGGGTGAGGGATTTGGGTTTGGTCAAAGCAGACTTTATCATTTTCAATTCAGAGAAGTGTGATAATCACTGCAGTCTCTGCTGAGAGTATTAGTGCTTGGTTAGAAACTTTTAGGTATCTCTTGTAAATGGGATATTCTGTTATTTATAGTGCTTAGGTGGAATTCAGCATGTGTATATACAGATCAATGTTTTTCCTTGATTGTATGTGATTGACAGTAAAAGTCATTGGTTAAAGCATTTGTGTACCCCCAAAAGACTGAAATGCTCACTATCTGATTTATTGTCCCTGTCCTCTGATTTCAGAGGTCAGCAGATGGGTCGAGTCCAGAAGATGGAGATGGTAAGAAATTTGATTGTAAATTTAAGAAATGCTGGTAGGTGTATAGAATCCCCAAAATAATTCTATTTTTTCTACAGAGTCTGATCGAGAGGATGGGAACTACTGTCCGCCTGTGAAGCGTGAGAGAACTTCATCCTTAACGCAGTTCCCTCCTTCTCAGTCAGGTAAATGTTAATTATTACTGTACTGCTGTATGAGGTGGGTTTCCTATTTCTGTTTCTCCAGGTTGCTCCAGCAGTCTTACTGCTGTCTGCTTTGCTTTACCTTGAATGACCACAGCAGCCACATGCTGACTTCCTTATGATCTGCGATACAAAATTTAAGCCCAAAGGATTTTGAAGCACAAATTTGTTAATACATATGCACCTGTTTGAGCTTCTAATGTTATGCTGTTCAATGGAAGAATTTAACAGCAATCTTTTTGCCTTGTTGTGATAAAATCATCTCTTAGAGAATTGACATAAATGCTGTATTTGCCTGGCAGCACAGTAACTAAGGAAAAATTTAATCTCAGCTTGTGCTTGAGTTCCCTTCATCAGTTCCTTTTCATCTGTTCCTCCTCAAGTGGAGAGAATTCAGTGCATTTCAGCAGTGTTCTCACCTAGCACATGCAAGAGATGCAGATCACTGTGAAGGGCACAGATAAATTCTTCTAGTTCATATACACCAGAGTGTTCTTGTATGACACCTGTGTTCACCCATGAAAAACTGTCTCTCAGATTTATTCCTTCTATCTTCACAAAAAAATGTCCAATTGAGGATTATTCAAACTGAGATACTGTGGTACTTACGGCAGACCTGGGGACTTCAGTCCTTCATCATTCATCTTGGCTGGCAAAGTAGATTGGGAAAACAGTGGAAGAGAGAATATTAAAAATAATCCCTCTAACCTACAGCATATTCCGTGTGATTAAAAGGAATGGAAGTAATTGCTTCTGTCTTCTAATTGTGAAGATATGGGTGGCTACAGAGTTTTAAATATAGTTGCTGTTAGGTTCTGCACTAGAGTATTCTCATGTTGTAACACCAGTGCTATCACAGGAAGAATTCCTTCTTGAGGTGTAGGTTTTTCTGGTGTGCAGTTGAGCTGTTTTTAAGGTGCACTCTCTTTAATTGAGTACTTTAATTGAGTACTCAATTAAAGGGCCCAGTGTGGGTGTTTTCTCATCATTCTTAATAAAAGAACACTATGCACAGAAACATAGTTTTCATTGTCTATGGATCTTCTGTTAGAACTGATTGTGTTATAGCTCTTGAGATCTTCGTTACTTATTGGGCCTTATAATCCTAGCTTCCATATCATCATTACCAGTTCTTTTAGTCTACAATGCCTTTTTCTTATCTGTTGAGACTCTAATCTCTAAATCTCACTTTGTGTAATGACAGCATTTTTTTAAGAAGTGGAGGAAGACAATTTCTTTGTGTAGTTGAATCCTGGATATTCCAAGAGTTTTGCATTTCTTCTCAGCATTTGCTTGCCTGAAGATCTCAAACTGTGTTCCTCTCTTCCTGTTTGATTCTCTTGTTCTCTTCTAATGTATGTGGTTTTTTATTCTTTCATGACTTGATTTGTATAACACAGCTCAGGTCATGTTCTATCTGTAGAAAGCTTCAGAGGTGCTTTTTCCTTCTGTCTGGCTTCCAGAATCTGCTCTGTGTGTGTGTTCTGCCTCAATCCTTGGCTATGAAGGCAACCTCATTTCATTGTGTTGCTCAGAATTCAACCTGAAAGTTCATCTCCCTTGTTTGTTGCTTGGAGCTTGTTGTGATTCTTCTCATCCCTCCCAAGTCTCTTTTTTTTGTGGTGATAAATACTCAGAAGCTTTTGTAAGTGTACTGCTCACTACAAACACAGCCTACTTTTTCATGCTTTGATAGTGAAACTCTTTAATGCCTTTTACATAGTTACTGTTCTATGCATTTTTAGTGTAGGTTAAAAGTAGCTGCTGCTATGATGCTGACATACTGTTGGTGTAATATGAGATTCATTGATTTTTTTTTTTGAGGGTGATTTTATTACTTTGCTTTATTGTATGAAGCTCAGTCTCATGCCTGACCATTGCATAGCAGTTGCCTCATAGCTGTGCAATTCTTTATTTTCTCTGAACTGTCTCGTGCTGCTTAGAAGGTAAGGCTTAATTTTAATTTTCATTTTGACCCCAGTAGCCACCTAGCTCTCCTTCACAGGAAAATAGCTGTGAAGGTGAGTTGGCATCCTGTTATGAAAACACTTGAAATGACTTATCACTTCAGTTGCTACCCATCAGTGGGAGGCTATGGTCCTTAGACTCACAGCAGATCTTCAGTATCTGTCTCAAAAGCACCTGTTTACTCTGTAGTGGTTATTTTATGTATTGCAGAATCAGGAATGCTGCAACTTGCCTCTGCAGTAAGTTTAGGTGTTGCTTGTGTGGATGCTTTGTTTAACCAGGTGGAGTACCCTGATGAGACTTGCTACTCAGATGAGTGTCTGTGTAGCTGATTAGCGCTTGAGATCTTAGTGAATTTTAGAATTATCATTTCCATTCCCTTATTTGTAAGGAGGTAAAAATCAGTTTGTCCTCTGTCAACTGAAGAGTCTTTCTTGTCTTGTGAGGTGACAGTTTGCCTCTTGTGCCTCTCTTTTGAAGAGATGCCACTCTGCATTGCAAATATGTTTTATTTTTGTACTGAGTCACCTAGGAGCACTGATTGACCAGCTTAAGTAAAAAGATCCTGACACTGGAAGATGTAGCCAATAAGAAGTATTTGGAAGTTATTAAAGCATGTGCTTGGCAGAACGTATCTGAGTGTCTGCAAAGTGTTGTAGTGTCCATGGAAATAATATAGTGCTCCAAAAGTAATGCCTCCTACAAATACTGCTAAAGGTAGTTTCTCTTTGCTCAGCATGGCCCAGGCAAGGCAGAAGGCTGGACAGCTGTAAGTAAAGTGATGACTGACTCTAACTTGAAACTTAACCTGCAAGTCCAGGCTGTGTCTGGGCAATACCCTGTTCCACAGCTGTAGAATATTTCTTTCATGGACTGTTGATTTTTTTTTTCCTTGTTAGCCCAGACAAAACAGAATGAAGAAAGATTTTACCCAAGTGCTTTGACTCTTGCTGTTTTGTGCTACTAATGCCTGTGATTCAGGGAGTTTAAGAAATGGTGGGAAGTGTCCAAGTTTAAAAATATGCCACTGTAAACATGTGCATGGAAATCTGTGTATGCTGCCTTGTAAAGGCATGCCCCCAAATAGCCAGGGAGGACTTGATATAAACAATCTTTCCAGCCTTTGAAACTGTAGTTGTGCAGTCCTGGTGAGATGGCATTACTCCTTTTCAGGAAAGCATTATTTTCTGTAGGTGGCAATCTTACATCTAGTGTGTAGAGGTTCTCTAAGACTTGCATACTTTTCTCTTGTCTAAGGCATACTTCATGCAGTATATCAAAGTTTCTGCTGCCTTGATGTGGAGGATCACATAATCAAACAAGATCTGAGTGGAAGGGACCTGTAAAGTTCCCACCTTGCTGCCATGATAGGGATAACTGCCCCTAGATTGGGTTGCCCAAAGCCTCATCTAACCTGGCCATGAGCATCTCCAAGGATGGAGCATCCTCACCTTCTCTGGGTAGCCTGACCCAGTGCCTCACCAAGCTCTAAGTAAATAATTTCTTCCTAATGCCTAATCTAAATTTCTTCTCTTTTAGTTTAAAACCATTGCCTCTTGTTCTGTCATGACAATAGCTGACACAAACTCCCACCCAGCTTTCCTGCAGGCCTCTTGAGGTCCTGGAAGGCCACTGTAAGGTCTCCCTGGAGCAACCATCCAGCCAGTTCCTTATCTGCCAAGTGGCCCATCTCTCAAGGCCATGTCTTTCTGCTTTAGAGACCAAGGTGTTGTGTGTAACATGTTTTGCACAAGTCCAGGTAGGTGATGTCTCTTGCTCTTCCCTTATCCATCAGTACTGTGGTCCAATTGTTGTTAGCTTCACTGAGGGCAAATCTTGCTTGACAGTTGTGGTGGTCAAGTTGGCTGTCATCAGTCATGTTATTTTGCGTGCCTTAATGTGGAAGGAGAATCTGCTTCACCACTTGGAACTCTTAGAGCAGGTCCAGAGGAGGGCCACTAAGATGATCAGAGGGCTGGAGCAGCTGTCCTGTGAGGAAAAGTAGAGGGTACTGGGATTGTTTAGCTTGGAGAAGGGAAGGCTCTGGAGAGACCTCATTCAAGGGAGCATATAAACAGGAGGGAGTACGACTATTTATGAGGGTGGATAGTGATATGACGAGGGGAAATAGTTTTAAATGAAGATGGGGAGGTTTAGGTTGGATATCAGGAAGTTTTTTACACAGAGGGTGGTGATACAAGAACACATTGTCCAAGGAGGTTGTGGATGCCCCATCCCTGGAGGCATTCAAAGCCGGCTGGATGTGGTTCTGGGCAGCTTGGTCTGGTGGATGGTGACCCTGCACATAGCAGGGGGTTGGAAATAGGTGATCTTTGAGGTCTTTTTCAACGCAGGCCATTCTATGATTCTGTGATCTTGTCGGACACAGGCAAGTAGTTTCCCAGGACTTCCTTTTTTACCTTTCTAAAAGCAAGGGTTATGTTTCCCCTTTCCCAGTCATTGGGAACTTCCCTGGACTGCCACAACTTCTCAGATAGAATAGAGATTGGCTCACCAACTTCATCTGCCAGTTATCTCAGCACCCTTGGGTGCATCTCATCAGGTCCCACAGATCTATGTATCCTCAGATTACTTGGATGGTCTCAAATTTGATTTTGTCCAGCAGTTATTTGTTCTTCCAGTCTATGCCTTTGCCTTCTGTGACCTGGGCAGTGTAGTTTGAACACATACTGGTGAAGACTGAGTCAATTAAGTCTGAGTACCTCATCTTTCATGTCCCAGCTAATCAGGTGGTCTTCCCATTTCCTTCTGGAGAAGGCCTATATGAGATACAGGGAGACAGAGTAGTCATGACTTGGAAATCTCGATCTCTCTTCACTCATGGATTACCAGCTTGGATTCTGTTTCTAGGTCCTGTAGGTTGTGTTACCAAGCAGATCGTTGAGATCCACTTGGGCAGTGGGCTGTTATTTCTTTCACATTTCAAATTATCTCAGAAAGGAAACTTTGAAGTACATAACTTTGTATGCATCTGATCAGTTATTTACAGCTGGTATGAGTGCATTTCCTACTTGATGTGCAGTTATTCTTAAGGGATCTGCCTGTGAACTAAGGGCTCAAGTAGATTGGGTTAATGATGAGGGTTGTTAATATGTTAGTGTTAGTTGTGTACTTGTTTGTGAGCACTATACTGTTAGTCTTAAGCCTTTTAAAGAGTCTAGGTGGTGGTTTCCACTATTTATCAGATATTGCAAATGTAGCTGAAAGAAAAGTCTTTCTGAAGTATCATGTGTGTAGTTGTATTTCACATTCTATCTGTTCTAATTTGTTATTCAGGATAGAATTCAAACTAGGAACAGTTTGTCTTCCCTCCCGGCAGTGAAGTTTGCAATTACTTTTTCAGGAGAAACTGAGCTGTGAGGAACTGCTTATTTTTGTAGCTGTAATACTATTCTAGTGTAGAACGAAACAAAACAAAAAACATAAGTAAAGCAAATGATCAGAAAAACTGTTTGACTTGCAATCTCAGTATTTGGAAAAGGAGCTTATAATCAAGAATGACATACCCAGCTTCTCTTTATTTTTCTTTTTACTTGACAACAGTAACAAAGAACAATGTCTTTATGCCATCAAGCTTCTGTGAACCTTCTGCAGGCAATTCTGACTCAGAGCCGGGTGAGTTTGTTTTTCCCTCATTTTTCCTCAGCAGAATGCTGAGTATCACAGTTCAAAATATTCTGACACTTCTGAACCCAGGCCCTAGCAAGGAGTGTGGAAGTGGTGCTTTTGGTCTTCAGCCTTTTCTTACTTTATTGCTTTTTCTCATGCTTGCCAGAGTTAATAACAAATATCAAAACTCATAAATGCTTTGGGAGTGATGGAGTGCAGTGTGATTCTATTCCCATCTGTTAACCTCAAGATAAAACTTCAGGGATGTGTCATTTCTTGACCCAAGGTTCTTTTTCTTTGTTGGCAAAGTCAAATCATCCATAGCCAATGGCTGTGATTATGTTGAACCATGATTTCTGAACCAGTGTTCACACTGCTGCTTGTTTTGTTGATCACACTTGTTTCATCAGCTTGTTGTATTGGAAACCACTGTTTTCATCTAGTACTTAATGGGTGAGGATAATGAAGTGCATTAGGGTGTTGAGATGGTCATCTTATTCTGAGTGCAGCTGCTACTCCCCCTTCAAGGTAGCATTTAATTTAATGATTATATTTTTCAGGTCTTTGGGGAAATTGATTTTGTAGTAGTTGGGGATTTATGTTTTTTTTTTTAAATGCAGGTATTTCCATGGTTATTTTATTTAAATGCCTTAGCTTCAGTAAGTACAACCGTAGGAAGTTTTTGCCTTCACATTAGGGAAGCATAAGGTGGCAGCTAATGCAATTACATAGAATTAATGAAAATTTTTACTTAGCTAGTGATATTTAACAGTTTGTGCTTGTTAGCATCTGTCATGCTCTGTCATGCTTTTGATGATTGTCATTCTTTTTGTATTATGATTCTCACTTAAAATCTATATTAGAAGGAACTCTGTTTCCCTTGTGAAAATGCTGTTCTGTGTTTCTCCTGAAAACTAATTTTGAACAGTTGAACATCTCCTTTCTTAATGCATGTCTGCTGTGATGATCACTGAGAATGTCAGCTTTGCCTGGAGGAAGGGATCTTGTTTGGAAATCTCATTATGACTTTGCTTTGGGTATTTATAAAGCTTGTGGCTTGTTACAGTCACAAAGTGCTCATGCTGTTACCACTGTCTTAGAGCAGGTTATACCTTCTGTATTTTACAGCTGTCTTTATAATTCTGTGTTTTGCTTCTAGAGGAAAAGAGCAGTGGATTCCGGCTAAAACCGCCAATCCTTATTCATGGTCAAGCTCCTAGTGCAGGTAAGTTCAATGTTTCCTTCAGAAGTAAAGTGAAACAGTAGTAGTTCCAGCATTTTTAATGTATTTTGGAGTTTTCAGACACACGTTGTAACTGGAACGTGGCAAGAAGTGTGCATAGGCACATCAGAGCTTTGACTTGGATCAGTCGTGCGCTTCTGAAATGCCTCTGCTTACTGTGCTTTGGCTCATGGTAGTCCTTGTCTGTGTGAGCTTAGTTCCTTTAGATTCAAACTGGAACAAAAGGTTTACTTAGGAGTGTGCTGAAATGATTCCTAGCTGTTAGTGTGTCTACCCCCTCCTTTCCTCTCTCTGCTCTTTGAATATAGCACAGTTGTGGCTTTCTTATGACAGCTGTTCTGCTGTGCTGTTTTACTCTGAGCTTCACCTTTGCTAACAGGTCTTGCTAGTATAGGAAGGACAAATGCTACTGCTTATGGGAATTCAAAGAAAACTGATTTTGGTAATGGAAGTAAATATTTGTAATGTATTTGGAATGTATATGTTCTCAGGAAATGTAGTAAATTAAAATATATAGATCAGATTTGATTTGTATTCTTATAAAAAGCTGATATGAATGCTTGGTCATAAGATAGTATCCATTGTCACAAGCTTTGGGATGGGAGGCCTGAAACAAAACTAGTTACAAATTTTAAAGTGAGCTTTTTGTGACAGTATCCTAATGGATTAAGGCTTCGTTTTGATTTTCTTAGTTTTTGTCTTTTTTCTTAAAGAAATTTGAATCTTTTGGATTTGCTATAGCCTTCTGGAGTTGATGTTAGGATTTTTTTTAGGCTGTTTTATGTCAGGTGCTTTTTTAATCTGAGCTGAATTAAAGAGTCATAGAGCCCTTTGTCTTCCTACAGGAAACTGGGGAGGCCAAGTTAACGCAGCCTGGAAAGGTTAAGAAAAATAACATGCATGTTTATTGTGCTGTCCATACACCTTATATGAAGAATGAAGAAATGAATCTGGGAATGGCTTAATTAGAGGGAGGGTGGGAGTCTTGGAAAACGGAGCTGATTAATACTTGGTGAATAGATAAGATTGGTTTGTTTCTCTTACATTTTCAACTTCTATTTCTGAGTCAGTGTCACAGACTCTCCTTGTATACTTTCCTGGGTAAGCTAGAGACTATGTCCAGTGGCCAGAAGGAAAAGGGTTACCTTCTCTGGGTAGGACTAATTCTTTCTTCAGGATGGGACAAGGCGTGGGAAAGAAGGAGGTGAAATCTTTCTTAAATTAAGTGTTCCATTACATGTTTTGTTGGAAGCGCTTGAAGTTGAAAACAATGTCATCTTCTTTACTCTTACTCTTCATAGCTCTTGAAAAAAGCTTTTCCACTTGCAGGTCTCCCAAGCCAGAAACCGAAGGAACAGCAGCGAAGTGTGCTCCGTCCTGCAGTCCTACAGGCACCACAGCCAAAAGCTTTCTCACAGATGGGTAAATAATGCTTTTGCTTTCTGGAGTGCAACAGAGGAGGAGCAGAAATACTAAATATGTCTCAAGTGACAGCATAAACTATCATATAGTCTACTGCTTCCGTTGGAGATCTGCACTGGCTGCAAAGTGATGTGAAACAACTGCATCACTAGCAGATGCCACCAGACTGAGAAACTTTCGGAAGCAGTGGCTCTGAGTTACACTTTGCATTGTTAGCTTGCTCATGTTGATTGTTTGATGTATTATGGAAGGCAATATAGCTAATAGAACTAGGCATGATTGGAAACTGAAAGTTAAAACAAAGTTGTTTAAGATTTGTGTCTCTTAAACTCTTATGCTTGTGTGGCTCTTCTGCTTTCTGTTGTTTAGAAATTTACCTAACCTGAAACAGTAGTAACCTCAGCTACTGCTGAATGTGATGTTGAACCAAACTTTTCTAGCTTGTCTGTTGGCATGGGCTGGATTCTACAGCGGACTCAAATACTGGAGTACAGTACTAGGAGTTCAGTGTGTATGTAGTTAGATCTCCCAAAGAGGAACCCTAAAGTACTAAATTTGAAGGAGCTTGCTTGCAGTTGTATGCGTTGAAGCCTGTGCAGTATTTCTACAAACATTAATGTTCTGCTGACCTGTTCGCGTTTGGAATTTTGTTGCTGCAAAGAGTTGCTGAATTGCTGTCCTCATGCTTCTGCATCACAAACCCGTTGTGCAAAAAATCGTGAGAACTGTGTAGTTGCCATTGCTGTGTTTCCTGTATTTTAAAAAAAGAAAATAGTATGCCATTTGCGAAGAAAACTGTTACTTCCTTTAAACTTCCTTTTAAGATTCTCTAAATGTCTAGAAAATGAATCTCAGCTTCTTGTTTCTCGTTGCAGTTCTGAGCAGTGGGACCAATGGTGTAAATATCCCACCAGATTGTGCAGCAACATCAGAATCACTAAGTAATGCAACACTGAAAAGCTCTGACTCAGAAGACAAGGTGAGTTGGAGAAGGATTTAAAGGACACTCAATTTGTCAGAACTTAAATATTCTGTGAATAAAATCTGTTAATGTGAGTGCAGGTCCATCAGTGATGATTCCCTACTTATCTGTATTATGTACTTCAGGAGTAGTAGTAGGTTTTGCACAGTACACTGTGGCTTTTCTTATTTGCTAAATCAAGAGCTGTAGCAAAAACTAGATGAATTCAAATACTGTAGACAAACCAGAATGATTTTAATAGTTGTCCTGGCTCTGCAGAGAATAATATTTGTTTGCTTTTCTGTTTTGTTTTCCTGACTTTAGCGAGGTCCTTGATAGATCTTTGCCAAAGTTATCTTTAAAACCAGACCAGGGTCATGTACTTACTCGGAATTAAAAGTGGATGGAAGGTGGCTGAACCATTGAGCTTCAAGAGTATCAGTCTGGTTCAAAATCTAAGGAATAGCTTATGCCAGAGGGGTTCCTTTGGGGTTTATACAGAGACTGGCACTATCTCATGTTTGTGCGAAGAACTTGGCAAGGTGGAGTGAATCTTACCAAGTTTTTGGATGCCAGTCAACTGTAGGATGGGGAGAAATGGTCAGTGTGTTGGAATATAGGGCTGTTCAGAGAAATCTCAGCAGGTAGGAAAACTAGATTAGGGAAAATCAATCAAAAGTGAACAAATACAAAGTTCTTCATCTGGGTGAGTTGGACTCACGTATCATAAGGACAAAGGACTGGATACAAAGCAGCTGTACAGAAAAAGGCTTAGAGGTCTGGTTGTTACACAGTGATGCTGAGACAAGTTAATATGTGCAGAGCTTATTAGTGAATTGTGTTGGTAACGAACTTTAAGGTTAGTGGCATTTATTTCGGAGAAGGGGAAAAGAAGAGGGAAGATTTCCCATCCATGAAAACAAGTTCACCAGCAAGACTTTTCCCCTGGGCATTTTCTCCAGTAGATCAGCTTTAATCCCTTTAGTTTCCATATAGCTATATTTGCTTTTATCAAGACATGCTCAAACTTCCTACTTTTGGCAGTGCCAGCTGGAGCATTTGTTGAACTTTATGCATGAATATTGTTGGGTCTTCTAATGTAAACCAAAAGCTTTAGAGCTACAGGGTTGGAAAGTGGGAGGAGAGGGAGGAGGTGATTCCCATGCAGTTTTATGGTGCAAATAAAAGGCCCTCAACACTACAAAAGGTTCAAGAACCATAACATCCTATGAAACAATGAGAAATGAAATGTGAGTGAGTGGTGCATTCTTTCTGACAAAGAATGTGTTGGGCTGCTTCACTGAGGCTATAGTCATTAGGTGAAGGAAAGTGATCGTTCCCTTCTCTTTGCTGCTCAGTGGGCTGTATCAGGAATACTGTGTGTGGCTAAGGATGCTGCTATGAGCAAGATGCTTACAAACCACCCAGGTGATTAGTGGCTGAGACCTATCTGACAGTGAAAAAGCTGGCTGTGTTTTGCCTGGGTAAAAGAAGACTAAGAGGGAAATTTTCTCAGCTATCTAGTGTGAGGTTTTAGCAAAACAGAATGAGACTTGGAAGTGCCCTTAAAAAAAAAAAATTAAAAATTGAGGGATAACAGGAACAGGGGAGGGGGGATTCCAGTTGCATAGTCGAGCAAGTGCATTCAGACATTGAAGCTGCCTTCTGCCATCCTTAGATTTGTATTTAAACTTGACTGTACAACATCCTGGGCAGTCAGCAGAGGATGACTTTGAAGTTGATACTCCTTCGAGCACAGTTTTGGACCAAATGGTGTTTAGAAATCCCTTAACTGTGAATGTCTTAACTGTGTGATTCCTTGAAAAAGATTCTCTGAATAAAACCAGATTCTTTTCAAATGTAAAACTTGCCTTGTAGCTCTGAAGGTGTGACTGGCATCTGTCATTTGTTATGGCAAATGACTGTGACTTGCCATAGTACAACATTCTTCGTTTTTTTTTGTTTTGCTTAAAGAGAATGGTTTTAATCATTAATCAGGCTAAGGCTTTCAATTTCTTTCTTTAGGCTGGAGAATGTCAGAAGAAAGAGTCTAACAGTACTTCAGATGATGACAGTGGTGACAAGGCAGAACTAAATGCACAGCAAGCCTTTGTATTTGGACAGAATTTAAGAGATAGAGTTAAGGTAAGCACAACTCATCTTGATTGAGTTGATGTATTTAAGTGAGGATAAAACACAGTGGAGCCAATCATTTGTAGGCACACTGAAGTTGTTCAAAACAATTAATGGACAGTGGTTTTAACACTTCATGTGTGTGAAGCAGGCAGCTGTGTGTGCAGCTTGGCTGTTCAGTAAAACTGGTCTTCCAGTTATTTAATAAACTTATATTACTGCTGTAAATAAAAAATTTAGTGCATAAATCTGAAGATCAGTGCAATATAGTATTTTCTCATACCTTTTGGGTCATAATGAAGTTGCAGTGTGTTGCTAAGATACTCCAGTGCAACCAAGATTTCACAGAAAAAGTAAGGAAAGAAAATTGGAGCAGTGTGAGTTCAAACCTAAGCACGGAGTACTTGGGTTGGATTGTGTGTACCTCTGTGTAATACAAGTTTATACAGGTTTCCTAGCGTAACAGAAGGAAAATACTAGTGGGACACAGGCTTACTTTATGGTAGGAAGTCTTTGTGGAAGAGCTTTTTCCTGGGGGGCAATGAAGAGCTGAAAATTCTGTGATTTGTAGTTAAAGCTGTCCTAACAGATGTTATTTTTGTAGCTGGGAGATGAAAGCGATGAAACTGCTGATGTGCAAAATGCTGGCCTTCCATCATCAGACACCCCTTCTGCAACAAACTATTTCCTACAATACATCAGTTCCAGGTGAGACTACACTTTGTGGGGCTTATAACTGTGCCAATGGAAACCCAGGCTTCTGAATAAAGGGGGTAGCAAACCTCAAATTTGAGTTATTTTTGTGTATAATGTCTCTTGTTGATTGTGATTACACAGAACAGCTCCTGTAAAATAGATGTGTTCATAACATGATCTCAGCTGTGCACTTTGGGTGCCTCTGCTTATGGGTGCCTCCAGGATGTTTTTTTCCAACTCATTTCTACAATTAAATCTACCATTGGAAGATCTAAGAAACTTTCAGAACAGTTTTAGTTTATTGAGCTGTCTTTTCCCAGGACCTTACAGTATAATGCTAAATGTAGAGCCTTGTTTATTCCCTTGAAGTACTTCAAAATGTACTAATCAGTGGCATGGTGTTTCTTAAGAGTGTGCAACAAACTTCAAGCCATTGCTAAAGTGCTTAGGCATGACAGGCATGACACTGTGATGTGTACCTGCATTGCTTAAGTAATAACTTGAGAGAGCCTTCTTGCTATGTGTGGAATGTTATAGATAATACTGCTGTCAGTTGCTCTGTCTATATAGGTATAGATGGCAAATCAAAGAAATGGAGAAGTGTTTTTTTATTGGAGTGTGGTGGTTGCTGATGCTCTGAGATCTCTGCAGGTACGCTGGTTGCCAAAGAGCAACTTAGAATGTTTGCATTTCTGAGAGTGATAAGGGAGAGAAGAGTTCAAAGAAGTGGTTTGTTCGTGATGCTGAGTTATACAGAGTAATACAGAAGGTCCTTACAACTAAGCAGAAGGTCTTTGTGTCAAAAGAGATTTGGTGGAGATGTGCATGAACTGAGGCAGCCACGAGAAAGTGATGCAGATTTTACATGTGCACCAATAAGCTGTGAACTGACAGTCTGCACTTAGGATAAAAAAACACCTTGATGTTGGTGTTGCTTTGTGACTGTGTTGGCTTAGTAGTGGTAAAAGAATCAAGTAGTGTTACAGAGGACAGAATTTCTTTTTTTACAGCATTGTCAGTTCAAGTAATTACTTGGAAAGTCAAGGAAGGACCCAGTATGTGATGGTTCTCCCAGCAGCAGAGAAGTGGAGCATTTAAGATGCAGATTGTTTGATGCCATGGAATAACTATGAAAGCATTGGTGTGTGTGCTTGCCTTGCCTCTACTTTGAGTTTTTAAGATCCTGTTGTTCTCTTACGTGAGCTGCAGTGCAAAGCAGGTGTGAGTAACTCATTTTGCAGTCTTAGTCCTGCTTGAGGTTTCACAGGATGCTCTGGGCAAGTAGAGAACATCAGAGTGACTGTATGCCATACCAATGTTTGTCCAGAAACATTTCTTATTTTTAAATTGGAGACACATAATATGTGGGCTTCAACTATCTATATATTTCAACCTACATAACATCTACTGCCATATCTGGATTGAGTCTTCACTGGGGAAGATTTACTCATGGTCAGTTGCCGGAAACATGCTTCTGAGTTTGTCTTTTTTTGTTTATACCAGTAAAGTTTTGAAACCAAAGCCTATTCCAGTTAAACCTACTTCAGATGGCAAGATGTGAGGACAGTCAGACAACACATGAAGCAGCTAGTGATTTTTTTGGGAAAAAGAAACCTTTGCCCTTTTCAAACAATTAAAGTCTGCTGGTAAAAATGTTATATGGAGGAGGTTGCTTACTCCAGGGATATGTAACAGCTGAGACTTGATGGTGAGGCTTCTCAGGAAAGCTGTAATATTGCAGCTCATGTGATGAAAGGCATTGCTCATCCCTGCTACCTCTGCTTCGGTTGTGACTCTGCAGGTCTTTGTTTCAGCTCCTCCCCTGGCTGTCTCTGAAAATTGACCTGAGAACATGTAGTAGTTGGAGTTTGCTCTGCTCACTTTCTGAGGAATTTCATCAGTGGGGGATAAATGCATTTTACTGACTTGCAGAAACTTTTCTCCCTTCCAGTATAGAGAACTCTACAAACAGCGCAGATGCATCGAGCAACAAGTTTGTTTTTGGACAGAACATGAGTGAGCGAGTCCTAGTGAGTATCCACTGCTTGAGAAACATTACCATCTTCTGTGCAGGTTCTGCTATGGGTTCTCACTCAGGAAAATTGAGAACTTTTAATTGCACCTCTCATTGGAGTGCTGTGTAGTAACTCAGTGAAATCTGGGGCTGTTGTCATGAGCTGCTATCTACAGCTGTAGTGCTGTCCATGATTTCCTTGCCGCCAGCACCGGTGTAAGGAGATGTCCCATCTTCGCTGTGGTGCATATGGTTCTCAAATCCAAGCAGTTTAAGTATGGGACAGCTTGTTTCTTTGCAATGACTGCTTCAGTATAAATACCTGAAGATGTTGCTCTCCTCCAAATAGACAAATTCAGTTACATGACCCTCCAAAGGATGGGATTCCAAATCAACTGTTTACTGACCCCAGGTGTAATTTGTAGTGCCTTACTGTTTTCGATTTGTTTTATTGTTATGCTGTTGTGAGAGGGAAGCACTTTGCACTGTGCATTCGTAACTACCAGTGAGGTGAGCTCACTGTCTTGAGTAGAGCTGTAGCTGAAATTGATTTGCTTTGAACAGAACCTCAAATTAAGGGTTGAAATTTGGTTTCAGTTCAGGAGAAAACGATTTGTGTTGTTTGCTAGGTCAGGCTCTGTCCAATTCCTTAGTCTGGGGTAGTAATGCAGCTCTTAATGTGAAAGCAGTGTCATTGGGATTCTCCTTGTATGTGGTTTATAAACAGTAGTGTTATCTGCTGGTAAGTCATCAGTAGTCGTGTTCTGCAAAGCTGAAATCAGTGTATGCTTTCCTCTTCTCTTTATCTCATTTTCTTTTTGTGATAGAGTCCACCAAAATCAAACGAAGGCAGCACAGAGAGTAATAAGGAGAATGCTGCTACGGAGTCTGGGTCTGAATCATCTTCTCAGGAAGCCACACCAGAGAAAGGTAAAAACCAAAGCAGTGTTCTAGGAATGGTAGTTAAATCTCAATATCCTATTACTTTGTTTAAAAAAAGTGAATGTTGCTTTTATTGTTGAATCTAACCAAAGATGGAGCCTTTTGGGGTGGGGATTGACATACTGGATGCTATAGATTGTCTTGTCTTTAATATATAACCTATGCAGGCTGTGCTGTCTTTCATGGGTTTTCTGCAGCACTGTGACTGTATTCAGCAGTGAAAGCAGCAAGCATGAGTAGAGCAGATACTTTGGCCCTACACAGTGTAGCAGAAGTGTGGCAAACTATTTTTAACAAAACCCTATTGTAGTTCTGGTAATTGGACTCTTGAGTCAGATGCATGTTGTGTAGGTGCACACATGGTGCTGGAACTGAGAACTGTTTCCTGGATTCCAGACTTCTGGGGCTCCTTGCAGTTCTATTGCCATCTTCTGTGATTTTTCTCTGAATTTGGGTATACCTGGAGACCCTTAGAAGCACTGTATAATGTATTGTTCTCAAAATAAACTTTCAAAATGTTGTTCAGCTAATAATATTTCAGAATCCCTGGCCGAGTCTGCTGCAGCCTATACAAAAGCAACAGCGAGGAAGTGTTTGTTAGCAAAGGTGGAAGTGATTACTGGGGAGGAAGCAGAAAGTAATGTTTTACAGGTAAGAAACTAATGCGGAGGATCTCTGAGCTTGTGAGCATCCAGGGAATGCACACCAGCCTATTCCCAACTTCTCAGCCACCTTCTCCATCCCTAATGTGCTTTCAGATATTACAGTGCAGGTTTGGGATATTTACTATTGGATCCTTATTCAGTTCTTTCTTCACTTCCTCTTCCAAATGAATGTCAGCATTTGGACAATCCTGGCAAATCTTAAGCACACCTTCTGCATGTCAATTCAACTTGTTATGATTGCTTTGTACAAGGATACATCTGTTTTCTCAGACCAAGCAAGACATCATATATAATAATAGCAAGATGGGAGCTGGGCAAGAAGAAGGGAGCTGTGGAAGCTTGCACCCTATCTGAATGTCATTCTTGCTTTTTGGTTTTGAGCATTCATTAAGAATATCTAACTTCATAAAGATCTTACCATATCAGCATAATTTGAGGGATCTATTGCAAAAGACATGATGACATGTCTACAAGCAGTTAAAAAACCCAGTATGAAATGGTTTGTTTTTGACCAACTAGATGTCTGAATACAATGAATTATAAAACTGCTTCAGTCAACCACTGTGCCACAGAGGTGTTTTCTGTTACAGATTCAATGCAAGCTGTTTGTATTTGATAAAAATTCTCAGTCATGGGTGGAAAGAGGTCGAGGGCTTCTGCGACTCAATGACATGGCTTCAACAGATGATGGGACGTTACAGTCGCGACTGGGTAAGAGAAACCAGGGAAATGAGTTACTGGGTGAGAGCTGTATTGTTTCATAGGATACTTCCATGACACACAGTAGCATCCACTTTGTTTTAGCTACAGCAACTCAAAGTGCAGTTTGGACCTTTTCTCTTGCCTTATGTCCAAAGAGAATATATGAAAATATCTTCCTATTGTAACAAATGCATTCTGCTTGCTGACTTTTTTTCTCCTAAAAGTGAGCTCTACTTACCAACCTGAATATTGACTAGAAATTCATGGCAATTTTCAGATGTGAGCTTTCTGCTCTTCAGGACCAGGTGCCAGTGGGTCTTTCTGTATGGTGCTTGATGGTTCGGGCTGGTAGGAATGTGCACTAGCCTGAGATCATCAGCTCAGATCTGGTCACTGAACTTTGATGTATTCATGTATGAGATTTAGGGCATGTTTATAGGTATTTAGCCCAGTAATCTTCAGTATCCTACATTCATCTCAGCAGTCATGATGAGATTCCCTTGATATTTTTTGTGTGAGGCTTCAGTGTTTTGTCACAGCCCTGCTCCATGAAAAAGCTATCTTGGCTGTGCTGAGCTCCTAGTTGTCTCTTGCCACCTAACCCATCTCATGTGTTTGCTTTAGTGATGAGGACTCAGGGGAGCCTCAGGTTAATCCTAAACACCAAGCTCTGGGCTCAGATGCAGATTGACAAAGCCAGTGAAAAGAGCATCCGGATCACTGCCATGGATACAGAGGACCAGGGGGTTAAAGTCTTTCTTATATCAGTGAGTACAGTTGTCATTTACACCATGGTATCCCTACTCAAATAGGCACTGCCTATATTGCAGTTGAAGTAACATTTTAGCAGATGCAGAGGTGATAAATATCACAAGTTGGGCTGTGTGGGAGCAATGTTATGAAATAAGCTAACCATCTCACTGAATTAAAGCTAACTGGGGGTGATGGCGATAGCAGTTACGGTGACAGATTCACTGATGTGGTGGAAACTGAGCTTCATTATATGCAGAAGGAAGTTCTTTCAAATAGATAATGTTCACAGAATACCTTGTCTGACAGCTCTAGAATAGCTATTTGGAGATATACAGTGACCATAAGCTTTGGAGAGTGCAAGAATTAAAAATATGAGCAAGCCACGTGACAAAACTGAAGTAGGCCTTGCTGTGGTATATTAAATGTTTTATCTGTTGTAATTCCTTGCACCTCTTTTCTTGTTGCTGAATACTGAAAACCCCAGGCGAGCTCTAAGGACACAGGGCAGCTGTATGCTGCACTGCACCACCGGATCTTGGCGTTACGGAGCAGAGTGGAACAAGAGCAAGAGGTCAAGAATGTGGCACCAGAGCCAGAAGTAACACAATCAAATGAGGAGGACAGTGATGATGATGTCCTTGCACCTTCAGGATCAGTGGGAAGTGGTAAGCAAGGGAGGCACACCATTAACAACCAAAAGCAAACAACAGTTCTGACTGCTGATTTCTGAGTACAGTGCTGTGTGCAAAGCAGGAGGTTCCCAAAAAGAAGTGGGAAGAGTATAACTCTTTCCGTTGTATGCAAAGAGGCCATAATTTAAAGAGGCGTTGCTTAGCAGTTTAAGGAAGGCTTCTTTCTCCTGACTTTGGGCCATCTATACTTTGTCTTCCTATGGCTCAGTACATCTCAATTTTTTCCAAGATCAGAACTTCATCCTGGTTCACTGCAAGAGAAACAATTATAAAGCAGGTTTGGGTATGAAGGGAAAAAGAGAAAGCAGCATGTGGACTTGGAGAGGCTGGAAATGAAGCTTGTGGGCTCTGATGCTGCTGAGATCCCAAAGCCAGATGGGTCAAGAGGATAAAGTTCTGCAGAACTTAATCAGCAGAAGAAATGTAAACTGAGGGGAGGGAAACTAATGTTTTCATCTGTCAGTGAAATGCGAACTCTGAGACATCATATGCATCTCTAGTGGGGTCTTAGTTTGAATCAAGAAACAGTGTGTGACTCAGCTCCTGTCTGTTTCAGGTCCCAGCGATGAGCGTGACGGGCAGAATGCCAGCAGCACATAGCAGACGTGAGCCCCCTGCTTGCAAGGCTGCTACGAACACCATCTTGCAGGCATCTCTCTGGACCCCCCCAGGCCAGCTCTTGTTTCAGGCAGTGTTGAAGGCTCCAGGACTTAAGAACTGTGCATCCCCGTTCTGTTGGTTTGGTTTCTTGGTCTGGATCAGTAGATTCCACACACACACAAAACAGCAGACTTGGAAACTACCTGAATGTGGTTTGGGACGTGAGAAAGCTCATCATATTGATGAGCAAAAAAAAAAAAAACACAAACAAAACCAAACACTTCCCCTCTTCCTTGTAATTGAGATGGCACATTACAGCTTGTCACGGCTTTTCAGTGGGACCTTGTGACTGTTTCTTCAGTAGTTCATGTTTTGCAGGCCTCCGAGATGGAACTTTCTGACATGGTTCCAACAGGAATTTGGCTTTTTTTAACCCCAGTTTCTTCCATCAGAGTCTCTGCCACACACAGGGAGACCACATCCCTGCACACATGAACTGCCCTCCTGGCTTCGTGCTCCTTTGGGACAGCAGATGGGGCAGCTGATGTTATGCTGAATCCTGAGGTAGGTGGTGGGCAGCACCATTCCCTGCCCTGTAAACAGAGACATCGCATTGGGATTCACCAGAGAAGCTTTTCTTTTTTTTTGTTTAACATTGTTAATAAGAGACTCTGAAGTTCACAGGACGTTTTGCTAACTCTTCTTTCTTCCCATTTCATCATTATTTGGGGGGTTTATATTGTGGTGATAACGTTTATATTTTATTTTAGTTTTTTCAATAAGATGCTCTTGTGTGTTGAACGTGAAACCATTGTTTTGTACTGTTCTTTTCTGTTACTATTTAAGGGAGAGCTAAGCCACTCTATATCATAGATGTTGCATACAGGTTTTTCTTAGCAAATTCTGTTTTCTTTGGCTGCAACAAAGTGTAGGGAGGCATCCAGGTGGCACCTGCAGAAAGGTGGATGAGCAAACAGCTATTAGCCCTCTGGAGAACTAGCAAGGCTCATGTGATGAGCTTGCTCAGCCATTAAAATGAACCCATTGCAAAGCAGCTCTCATTGAATGGCTTGATTCAGCAAGCCATGTAAGCACTTGCCTGACTGAACTACATGTGAACCATCTGACTGAGGTCAACGCAACTATTCCTGCTTTGAGCCGAGTACGTTTTTAATGATCTTGCTGAATTAACAGCCTTAATAGAAAATTAACTTTTAACCCTTCCTGCCCCTCTCCTGTTTCCTGAAGTCTTGCAGCATGAAGAATAAGGTGACATTGCCGGCTTTGAGCAGTTTGGGCTGAAGGATGTTGTGTTCTCTTCCACCCCAATAAAAGCCAGAACGTGTTTCCCTGTGTGTAATTCCGAGGTGCTCCTGCTGTAGGTGGAACTCACATGTGGTCATAGTGCTTCTTCACCATGGGGTGAGAGTTGGGTGGCAGTTCTTCTCCCTGGAGTGTAGGAAATGGTTGCTTTCCTTTCTACAAACACATTACAGATTTGAGGATGGGCCGTATGTCTCTGCAGTCCCTGTCTCAGCAGTGCTCATTACCATCACCTGTGTTGGTCATGCAAGATGTCATTAAACTGACTTCTCACTGTGTGCTGCTTTCCCCCTTGTTCTTTGGTCTCATCAGGGGTTATGGAGCAGTTAAAGGACACCTATGGAAGGGTTAATGGTGCTAGGGGGCACACCTGCACTTGTTTGGGTTGATGCTCCCCCACATGGAGCTTGCCCCATAGTCCTTGGTACCCATATTGCCCCACAGATCCTGTACTGCCTCATCATGGTGCAGTTAGGGATCTGTACCTTCCAGCCCTACAGTGAGAGCCATTACCCTGTAGTCACCCTCCTGAGCCCTATGGCCCCATGACAGAACACCTAGCACCCCTCAGGGCTTGCAGAACACAGCCTCAGTGGAGGGCTGAGCTGGAGAAGGTGTGGGTGGAACTTGGGGAGGAAGGTGTAGATCTCCAGCTGCGCTGTGGTGTGGTTGTACAGGATCTGTGGGGGCAATAGGGGTAAGGAGACTTTGGGGTTCCCATGATCAGTGGCAGTTTCACCATCAGCTCTGGGAGAGGTACATTAGCTCCTCCTTCATGTGCCCTATAACAGGTCCAGAGACCCCCTATAGCAGCCATAATCAGCAGCAGTTCCACCACCAGCTGTAGATGTGGGTCAGCCATGTCTCTGCCCCATGGTGCCCCTGTAATCCTCTCAGTGTCCTTTAGCTGCCCCATAACTTCTTATGACTTCTTATAACTCAGCAATTCCCACGAAGTGCTTGTGAGGTGACAGCTGCCATTATTGGGTACACATGCCCCATGGCTGCCCCAGAAGTCTCCTCTAACTGCCCCTCTAGACCTTCCTCCATATCTGACCCTATGGTGCCCACTCTGTGGCTTTTCTGGGGGGACCCACACCTAGGCGAGATTGCTTTACCCCTACACAGCTGGTTATGGGCCACATGAGGTCAGGATGTAGGGTTGTGGGTCATGCAGGGTCACAGAGTTGTGGGGTTGCATGGTCATATAAGTTCATGGTGTCATGGAGTTCTGGGTCACATGGCCATGGAGACATGGGAGCAGGGCTCACAGAGTTCCTGTGTCAGATGGGGTTGTGGGTCACATAGTTATATGGGGTTATCTTGGGTTGTAGGGTTACGCATAAGAGGGGCCCCCACAGGGGCCCCCATCCCCTTGCAGGAAGAAATCAATAAATGTGCTCTGACACTGCCCCACATCCCCTATTTTCACCCCAATCCAGGCCCTAGGTCCTCCCATGGCCCCATGTCTCTCAAGTCCCACCATCACCTCACATATTGCCTTCTCCTGTGCAGTGTTCCAGTCCCACAGGCTGTGTCCCCACATCCCTCCCAACATTCCCTCCTGTCCCCAGTACCTCCCCGTGTCCCTTTGCCCCACATCTTGCCCTACACCTTCTCCTGTTCTGTGCTGCTCTCCAGCACCTCTCAATTGTACATGAGGGGGAGATGGAGATCGGGTGGGCTCCGGGGGTCCTGTAAGGACTAGGGGAGTCCTGTCAGAGACTGGGGGGGGTCTGTGAGCTACTGGGGTGTCCCAGAGGGGATTATGGCGGTCCTAGGGAAAAAATATGGGAGGGGTGTCTGTGGGTACAATGTGCTGTTGGAGCTGTGGAGCTCTGGGTCCTTTTGGTCTGAGGGGCTGTGGGGGCTGCAGGGGAGCTACGGGGGTCCTGGGGGGGAAATGTTCATTTGTTATTGTCTGGGAAGAAAGCATCCAAATACGTGTTGGACTGCCTAAGCTGGGGGTGAGTGAGGGTTTGATAAAGAAATTGCAGTGAGCAAATTGAGGGAGGTGGTTCTCCGCCTCTGCTCCACTCTGTGAAATTCTATCTGTGCTCTGCTCCAAAGCCCCAGCACAGAACAGATGCTGAGGAGACTCCCTGAGCTCACAGAATGGAGAACCCATGCAAAAACCATCCTGGTCAACATCTGCCCTTGGAGCTTCTGTGTGACCCCATGTCCTGAGCCCTGAAGTGCTCTGTGGTGACCTGGGAGGCAGAGACAGCTTGGCTGTAGGAACTGTAAGCAGGAAGAGCTGCAAAGCCCAGCTCCTTCCTCTGCCTCTAATCTCCTTCCCTGCTCTGTGCCGTGGCTTCTCTGTAGCGACGGGTTGTAAGAGTTAGGGTAGTATGGTTGTGTTTGGACTTAATGATCTTGAAGGTCTTTTAGTCTTTTCCAACCTGAGCAATTCTATGATTCTCCCAGCAGTGTTCAAGCTGCCTTGCAGCCCAGCAGAGCCATCCCCTTCTTTCCTGGGAAGTCAGAAAGAAAGGAGCCCTTTTTGACACCACCAACCAGCTGAGGCCATGCGCAGAACCCAGCTCTCCCCGGTGCCCCAACCAGGCTGCCGTCCCCAGGTGCAGGGCTGGAACCCGGGGAGAGCTGCCAAGGAGCTGCTTTGAGGCAGGGGAAGGGGCGCATCTCAGAGCAAGGGACACTTGTCCCAGGGTTGGAAGTGACCCAGCCTTTGCGGTGTGAAGCACGGGCTGCTCCTGTGTGCAACCCTCACCCCTGTGTGGTGCAGAAGCAAGAAGTTACGGAGCTGCACTTGGGTGGAGACTTTTGCAAGGAGCTGTGATGTGGCAGCGCAATAAAAGCGGGAGGTGGTGCTGAAGCACAGCAGATGAGCTGGGCTTCTCCACAAACCGCAGTTTCCCTCCCAGCAGCTGCGGGTGCCGATACAGGGCCTGTCCAGCCTCTGCTGCCAGAAGGGAGGCAAAGCAGCAGGAGAGCAGGCACTGAGGGGTCATGGTGAGCGCGGGGGAGCGGTGGCCCTCGGGGTCTGGGTGCTCGGGGTCTGGGTGCTTGGGGTCCATGTTCTCTGAGTCCGAGTGCCTGGGGTCTGGGTGCCTGGGACGTGTACACCTGCGCAGAGGAAGCTCTCGTCCTGCGGTTCATCTCCTGGCCCACGAACACAAGTGTGGCAGAGGGCAGAAGCGTGTTCAGGGAGCTTCTTCCAGCCCAGTTACAGCTTTCCAGCACCAGGAGCGTGAGGCTGCAGAGATGCCTCCGAGCCCTTGCTTCTGCAGCAGCGAGGGTGGCAATGGCGGCCTGGGGGGACGCAGCAGCGCAGGGCATGTTCTCCGGGTTTTGTCTCTCCGTGAAGTTCTGGAAGAGGCACAAGGGCAGAGACGGTGCTGTCTGAGCCTGCTGTCCACAGGGGTGGGTGGGGATGGAGGAGGTGGGCTTGGGGACCCCAGAATGGCTGGTGTAGGAGTGCAGCAGGGCCAGGGCTGCACCCACAGGCGCACACAGCTCGGCTCTCCCCGCAGGCCATGCGGTTCCCCGCTCTGCTGCCGCTGATCCTCGCAGCCCTGCAGCCCGCGGCCGTTTCCACAGCCCCGCCGCCGCCCTGCCCGTGGGAGATGAACAAGGTGAAGGACATCGTGGAGGTGAACTGCACCGGGCGGGATCTCGGCGCGGTGCCCGCCGGCCTGCCCGAGGACACGGGCATCCTGCTGCTCAACGCCAACCGCCTGCCGTCCGTCTCCACCGCCGCCTTCCAGCCGCTGCCCGCCCTGCAGGACCTCGACCTGTCCGACAACGGCCTGCGGGCCGTGCACGCCGAGGCCCCGCTGCCCAGCCTGAAGGAGCTGCTGCTGTCCCGCAACGCGCTGGAGGCTCTGCCCGCCCTGCGAGGCCTGCCCGCGCTCAGCCGCCTGGCCCTGGCTCACAACAAGCTGCACGCTCTGGCCCCCGCGGCCTTCCGCGCCGTGCCGCAGCTGCAGGACCTGGACCTGCGGGGCAACGCGCTGCGGACGCTCCCCGAGGACGCCTTCGCGGGTCTGCGGGCGCTGAAGGACTTGGATCTGTCGGACAACGCCTTGGAGGAGCTCCCCGCCGGGCTGCTGCGGGACCTGGAGAAGCTGGAGACGCTGTGGCTGTCGGGGAACCGGCTCCGCGCCCTGCCCTCCGGCTTCTTCCCCGAGGGGCACCTCTTCGCCTACGTCTTCCTCACCGACAACCCCTGGCACTGCGACTGCAGCCTGGTCTACCTGCGCTCGTGGATCCTGAGCAACGAGGGCAGTGTCTACGAGCCCGAGCGCGGCCTGGGGAAGACGAAGGTGGAGCTGGCCCCGCAGAAGGTGCTGTGCCACAGCCCCAGCGAGCACCAGCACAAGCCCATCATCCGCTTCAAGCCCAACTGCAGCCATGTGGCAGATGCAGAAGAGTATGAGTACCCTGATGTGGAGTGGTCCACCGAAAATCCTCTTATGACCTCCTTGCCCTAGCACTACTCTCATACTCACTGTGCTAGCTAGATCTGAAATGATTTCTGGGCTGCTTGGCAGGGCTGGGAGTTGTCCTAAACCAGAGCTTGGGGCTGAAATGCCAGGTTTTGGGTCAGTGTAGGAAAGCTGAACTGGCTTTGTCTGCTACATGCTAACTGCTTCTGCTCAAATGACACACACAGATGCATCACGCTTTCACTGAATAAATGTTCTCTTTGCCCAAAGTCCACATGTGGGTTAATTCACTTCATTCGATCTTCAGTAGTGCTGGCAGACTACAGTGAATGGCAAATTCGTTTTCAGAACTTGGAACTACAGTTCAGTACAGTAAATGGCCACTCATACCCACCTTCCTTTTGCAGAGAAGAAATGGAGGATTTTAGTTAGGAAGCACAATAGATTTTTTGGAGCATCTCAGAACCATTTTGAGGTTTCCTAAAATGCAGCAGGGAGCGACTTCTTTGCAGATCCTTCATCCTGCCTCAGCACCTCACTGGCATTCCTCACTGTTTCCAGGCATTTTAGGTCCATTTCCAGGTGCCAAGAGCTCTGCAATGGTTGTGACTTGATGGTGTTGGAGCCCAGCTGCAAAACACTCTTCTTGGCTCCAGGAAAAGAGCCTGGCTGGCAGGGGAGATCCTGCTGCTGCAGGAGGAGCTGCACCTGTCTGGGAGCAGGGAAAGCCAAAGGGAATTCTGAGAAGGGGCTGTTTTGGGGTTGTGGACTTGGCCATCACTGCAGACCGCTGTAGTTGGAGGTATTTCACTGCCCTCTGAAGGGCCCACATGAAGCAGTGCTTATTTTTTCCCCAGTGAAAGCCATGTCACACCAGCAATGTCTCTGGCTCTGGTGGAAAAGTCCCATTCATTTCCATCCATGCCATGCATCCGCAGGAGTGTTAACTTCATTCAAGAGATGCTCCAGTGTAATCCACTGCTTTTGATGTCCTCAAAGTAAGGGGCCAAGAACCATGGGGTTCTTTTCAGAAGATGTGAGGAGAAAAGAGGAGATTGGGTTTGGCCAGAGGTGGGCATGTGTGCTGTGGGGCAGTGGGCAGGGCAGATCGAGGCACTCACATCTCCACAGTGCACACTCCTTGCCTTGTACTCCCAGGTGGGTCTCTGTACTAGGAATTGGGCCAGTGACGTTCTTCAGCATGGATGAGGACATCTCCATCTTCTCATTTCCACCAGTGACATTCCATGGGATCAGAGTCCACCCCTGGCTCTGGCTGGGTCCTGAAACATGGCTCAAAATGTGGCCCTGATGAAGGGGAGGAAGAAAGTGAAGGCGCTGTTTGTGTGCCACAGCCTGCGGGCTCTCAGTGGGGCGAGGTTGGAAGGAATGTGGGGAGGTTTCCACTGCAATCTCCTGCCCGCAGCCGGGCTGAGCGCACAGCTACCTTGGTGGCTTTGGGCATTGTTGTATCATCCGAAATCCGGGAAGAAAACTCTTTCACTGCAATGCGGCATCAGAAAGAGGCATTCCTTTATTCCTCACAATATGCAATGGGTGACGCTCAAGTGCACGCTCATGGCGTTCAGGTTCTGCATTTAAGACACACACGTGCACTACATGGCATATACATTCATTCCTTTCCAAGAATTCAATACATTCTGATGTCCCCTCAGGCACATGTGGTTGATTTTAGGGTGGTCGTACACCCACTTACTTTATCCCCACTCTTCTATTACCTGCTCCATCACGGTGACTTCTGGCTGACTTTGAGCTGTTGTTCCCCAATTTGGCAAATTTCCATTGCTCGTAAGGCCACACTGAGCAACTTCCAAAGCAACGGATGTGAAATCCGAGCACGAAGCACCTGGTGGATGCAGAGATAAGGATAGTTACTGCGAGCCCAGTGCTTCGTGTGAAGCAGAATTAAGAGAAGACAAGGCTGTTTGTGCACCAAAGTGGAAACGGAAAGTCTCAGAGCTGGCACTCATCGATTCCTTCTGCTGAATGCACACATCGGTCCTTGCACCAACGCACTGACCCTGCTGCTAAACAAACCAGCCCGGACCAACACCACACAACCACTCAGCGGCTTCCTTACTACTTCTTCCAGCTGCCTCCACGCCCTGCGGTTGTTGCGGCGATGCGGAACCGAGCCGCGCAGGACCGGCGCGGCGCTGCCACAGCACGTGGGGGGAGCACCGGCCCGGCGGGCGCTGATCTCGCGAGAGGCTCGCCGCGGTCATCTCGCGAGAAGCGCGCTTTGCTCTCGCGAGAGCGCGGTCGTGCCCTTGCGGCGCCATGGCGGGGTACTGGGACGGCCCCGAGGGCGAGCGGTGCCCGCAGCGCACCTGGCTGACCACGCGGGTGGGCGCCGCCGCCGGTGAGGGCCGCTGAGGGCCGGGGGGCGGCGGGGGGGGTCCCGCACGGCCCCGCTCCCGCTGACGGTCCCGCTCTGCTTGCAGGCCTGCTCGGCTCGGCGTACCGCATCATCCTGCTCCGGCCCGGCTCCGCGCTCGCCGCGCTGCAGATGGCGGCGTCGGACACCGTGACCATGGGTAAGCGGGCCCCCGGGCCGCCTGCCCCCCTGCGGCTCCGCGCCCCGCCGCCCTCTGCGTTCCCGTTGCCGCTCCCCCGGCGCCCGGCCCGGCGTCCCCTCCTGTAATTCAGAGCCCTTCCCCGCTCCCCTGCCCTGCCGCAGCCCCGTCCCCCTTTGGCCGCCTTTCCGAGCGCTGCGTAGCGGCGTGGCAGCGTTAGAAGCTGCTGCTTTGAGTGCCTGAGGCCCCGACCCGGCGGAAGGAGCGTCCTGTGCTGAGTGCTGCAGAACCGGGATGAGAACGTGGGCTCTGTGCTGTGTTTACAGCTTGGAGGATGCTTTATGTGCAGCCTAGAGGAGAAGGTGCGTGTGTTCAGTGCTTACATGTGCTTCTGTACGTACGTACACGTATATATGTCCAGTTGCTGGACAGAAGCATAATGGAAGCAAACGTACCTTGTTTCTCTACTTCACATCAGTTAGGCATCACACTCTATAAATGATGTTCTGAAGAGCAAAGACTGCTTGTGACAGCAGAAGGAAAATCAGCGTTTGTCCTCATCATTCATCGGCTGCTTCTTGCCAAGAAGAAGCAATATAGTTATCTAATTGTAGCCTGCAAGGGCGAGGATGCTGGAGGGTGAAGCAGCAACCCAAGGGCTGTTCCAGCTGCACAGTGAAGCCCTCAGCCCATGGCACACACAGTTTTCATCAAACTCACCTCAGTTTTCAGCCTCATTTCACGCCTGTGCCACCTCTGTCTCTCCCACAGCAGCTCTGCTCTGAACCAGAAGCCCATCTGCACATCACCCAGGTCTGCAGCTGCCTGTTCAGCTCTTCAGTAGTGATTTGAGCCATAAAAGCTCATTATAACGGCCCAGATCACATCACCAATTATTGCTTGGATAATCTTTGTAATCCCAAACCAGTATGCTGAGTCCTCCTACTGCATCACATCTGAGGATAACTGCATGCTGGGGAGGCCAAGCCTGAGCAGCTGAAGCCCTGTGGGTTTTTTCCTTGCTCCAGAGCAGAGAAAGCAGGGAGCTGAGGGGCTGTGGTCTCTGGGCTCTGTTTCCTGAGTGCTCTTTTTAGCTCAGCAAAATCACATTTTGTGCTGGAAAATTGCATTGTTTTGTAACATGGGCTTGTAGTTTATCCGTTATCGTGTAGACTTCATTGTGGATGTTTTTGGGTTGGTGTTGTTCCCAAGAAGGATGAATTGGGCTCTGGAGATGGTGCCTGTGTCACATCTCTCATCAGAAATCCATATGGTAAACCAGAGCGGCTTCAATTTCTTCTTTCTTTCCAGAGGAAATGCTTGTGGCTCCGTGCCTCCCAGCAGCACGCTTTGCCTGAAGAGAATCAGGATCATGGAATGGCCTGGGTTGAAAAAGACCATAATGACCATCTAGTTTCAACCCTGCTGCTATGTGCAGGGTCACCAACCACCAGACCAGGCTGCCCAGAGCTTTTGCTGAGTTTCTCTGCCTTCTGTTCACAGCTACGCTGGGCGCCGTGTTTGGGCTGACCACCTGCCTCAGCGCCCAGGTGCGGGAGGAGCCCGAGAGCCCCTTGGACTATTTCATTGGGGGTTGTACCACAGGAGCTGTCCTAGGAGCCAGAGGTAAATGTGGGTGGTGCCTGGAGCGGGCGATGAAATGAGTCTGCTCTGTTCTCCTGAAGCTTTCTTAGGGAAAATAGTAAAAGCACCTCAGTGTCGGGCTGATTTGGTGGCTTAATCTCTTCATCTCTGTGTGTGAATTCCATTTCGTGCTGGTTTTGCTGACGCTCTGTTGTAGAGCTCTGCTCAATAAATAGTGCTGCAGGGGGAGACCGGAGCTGACATGGAGGAGATTTACAGCACGAGGACAGAGCTGACCCAGCACTGCCCGTTATAACTACTGATAATTTGAAATTGCGGGATATTAAAAATGTTGTTTTGGAAATCTGTGTCATCTTGGCAGCAAACGTGATTTATTATACATGGAAAATACGATCTGTTGTCTGTTTTGTGAATCTTCTTGCAATCTGAGGGTCAGGCCATGTCTTTCAGCTGTCACTCCCATGACATTTCCAGGCTAGATTAAGTCCTGCAGACATTGATACAGCTCTGCCTTCTGTAGGCATTTGCAGACTCAGTGGTAAAGGACTGAGAGATTTTATTTTTAAGTTCCAATTGTGGTAAAATTAGGTTTCTCTTTCCCTGATTGCTGAGCTGAGAGTTTGAAGTGATGATTGTTGTAGTCATTGAGGTAAGCAATTAGGGTTTCTCTATATAATGAAACAGGGCAATGGGTTATGGATGGTTATATTCCAGACTGTGGGCAGAAAGCATGAGAAAGAACTTGGAAATAAATTCATTTCTCTGGTTTCTGTAGATGACCAATGGTACTTATGGTCAAGGAACATGTAGAATCTGTCCTGATCTGCTTTGTGCCTAAGAGATCTTTCTTACTGCTTGTTTTTTTCCAGCTCACAGTTACATGACCGGAACTGTTGCTTGTTTGGGCTTTGGAACTACTGCTGCATTAATGAAGATAGGAAATAAGGAAGGCTGGAGGCTAACAGGGCCTCCCAAGCTGTAAATGTGCCATTCCACCCTGCAAGCTGGATCTTGAGTGCTGTATGTAATGAGACGCTGTGTAATAAAAAATACTGTCAAATGGGCTGTCACCAGGTGTGCACATCATCCCAGTGTTGATAGGATTGAGCTGAGATGCAGAAAGGAGGCATGAGGAGAGATTGAGAGTGCGGTGTCGTTCATCCTGGAGACGGGGATCCTGAAGAGGCGATGGGATTGGATGTTTTCACAAGTTCGTGGTTAAGAAGAGATGTTCAGGTGCAGGGTGAAAGCATGGAAGGTGATAAGCATGGGTTACAAAAGGAAATTGTGTCTAGGTAGAAAGAAGATCTTATAGTTGGGATAGATCACTGAAAAATGGACCCAGAGAAGCTAGGATACTGTAGCTTTTGGGGATACAAAATTCAGCCATATGTGCAAATATGAGGGTATAGGGACAGGAAGTTTAGGGATGGGGATATGAGTTCTCGGAGATGGGGAAATAGTGTTGTGGGGCTGGGAGGCAGCGGGGATGGGACAGCGTGGAGTTCTGGCACTGCCTGCACCCTCCTGCCTGAGAGGGAAAAAATTCCAGCGCTGTCCTCCCACCACCGTCCTCAGGGAACCCTGCTGTCCGACCGCCCCGTCCGGGGCACCGGGGCCACAGCCCTCCCTCCAGGCCTGTCCCAGCTCCAGTGCTGCAGCCACGTGTCCAGGCTGGGCTATAATTACCCACACACATTCCTGGGGGGTCACAGGAGCGTCCCAGAGCTGCAGCGGGCGGTAAGGTGGGATGAGCGCGCGGTCGCAGCGCAGTGCGCAGCACAGCAGTGCAGGACGTGGCACGCGGCACACAAAGGACACACAGCACTGTGTGATGTGTGGGGAACTCCATGCACTGCATGGGGACGGGGACGGCAGGGTCAGCACAGTGCAGAGCAGCCACCACGCGTGGTTTGTGGTGTGTGGCACCAGTGGGATGGAGTGATGGCTCTGAGGGGAGCTGGGCTGGCAGTGGTGGTGGTGTAGGTGGTGGTGGTGATGGAGCAGAGGTGGTTGTGAGCGTGGGGCAGCAGCTGGGGGGAAGGGATGATGGGGGACGCTGGGCTGTGGGCTCTGGCTTTCAGACAGATTGGCTGTGTGCCTATAATTTCATCCTGTGCTGTGCAGTAGAGGGTTGAGCACTGAGGCATGTGGGGGGCATCCAACTCAGCTAAGGAACGGGAAAAGCCTGCAGGTCTCATCTGTCTTGGCAAGAGGCATCAAGTTCAACTGTGGGGCAGTAGCAGAGCGTGGTGGTCTCAAGCCCTTGGCAATGGATCCGGTGTTTTTTGCCATGGGGCAGAGCCAACAGCAGCTCCGTGTGCCCATCCAGGACAACCTGACTGTGGGGATGGCACCCTGACCTCATTCCACGTGTTCCCACAGGCAAGATGTGGGTCACGGAGGGGCCAGCCCCAGCCCAGTGGCACCTGCGGGATGGGGCCCACGCCAGACACTTCCTGGCCATGGCCAATGACCTCCGCACCGCGGGACAGCTGGTGGATGTGGCTGTGGGCCCCGAGGGTGACGTGGCCCATGCTGTGGTCTTAGCCTCCGTCAGCTCCTTCTTCCTATGTTTCCTGGAGGACAGGACCCGAGAGATGTGCCGGGGACCCCCATCTCATGTCCCCCTGCCACCAGGGGTCACACTCTGGGGCTGGCGGGCCCTCCTGGCCTTTGCCTATGAGGGAACTGTGCCCCACGGCAGGGAGAGGGAGGTGGAAGAGTCCGCTCGTGTTCTGGGGGCTCCACGAGTGGTGGCTGCCTGCACACCCCGGCTGGAGAGCGACCACCAGGAAGGGGGTCCTGAGGCCCTGGAGGAGCAGTGGGAAACACTAAGAGCCATGGAGCAGCTCCACGCCAGCGGCCTGGGCTGTGACCTCCAGCTGCAGGCAGGGGATGAAGTCATCCCAGGTGAGCTGGGTGTGGTGATCCTTGGGGGGGAGTGGGAATGGGGTATGTTGGGTCCCCTGGGGCGGAAAGTGGGGACGAAGGGCAGTGCTTGCCTCCAAGCGGGGATGGAGCAGCAGGTGTCCTGTGGCTGGTCCTGTGGGGATAGGGGGGGATCAGTGGGGGACGCCTGAGTGTCTTGAGATCACTTAGGCACTGGGTCCTCCTCCAGCCCCCATCCTTTTTCCTCCTTTCTCCTAGTTCAGCGGCTGGCCCTGAGCTGCTCCTGTGACTTCTTCCGGGCTCTCTTTACTTGCCCCATGAGGGAGTCGACCCACGACCCCACAGCCCCGCTGAGCACAGGACTGACCCCCATGGAGCTGCGCCTCCTCCTCTCCTTTGCCTACACGGGGGCTGTGGTCGGGCCGTGGTCCGCGGTCCTGGAGGCAGCTGAGACCTCCCTGCGCTACCAGGCCTGGGGGCTCCTCACCCTCTGCCTGGATGTTTTCACCCACAACCTGACCCCAGAAACTGGCCTGGACGTGCTGGCCTTTGCCGTGGCTTACGGGCTGGCCCAGGTGAGCCGCGCAGCGGAGGACTACGTCTTGGCCACCTTCCCTACCGTAGTGGCCACTCCAACCTTCCTGGATCTTCCTGCCCACCTTCTGATCCGCCTCCTCCGCTCTGATGGTCTTAATGTCCTCCATGAACTGGAGGCTTTGGAAGCGGCATCCCGGTGGCTGAAGGCCAATGGAGATGGCCAAGAGAACGTAACCAAGGAAGTTCTGTCATCTGTTCGCTTTGCCCTCATGTCCGGCCAGGAGCTGAAGAAGATCCCATCGGTCACCGCAGGGGTGGTGGACCCAGGGCTCCTCCGCCAGCTGGTGGTAGAGAGTTTGTCCCCCATGGTCCAGCTGCCATGCCGGGTGCGCTCCTTGCAAGAGGTGCTGGTGGTCTGTGGAGGAGACAAACTGACGCCGAACATGGCTGCCCGGAAGCCCAGCAGGAACCTCTGGTTTGCTCACCGCTACCTCAACGCCGTGGGGCTGGTGAAGCACGTGGAGTGGAGGGCATTGGGGAACTTTCCTGACGGTCCACGCTTTCGCCATGCTGTGGCTGTGGTAGGCAACACCCTCTACGTCCTGGGTGGAAAGCGCTACTACGGGATCCGTGACACCCTGGCCAGTGTCTACAGGTGAGGGCCGTGTGGGGTTGGAGGAAGTACTGGGGGAGGGAGAGCTGCTGCATGGACCTGGGCCTCTGCGTGTGGCCCCGAGATGCTCCGGTTGTCTGCTGGCCTGGGGTGTGTCTGCCCCTGTGGAGCCCTCCTGCACTGCGATGCTGTGGGGTTTGTAGGGGATTGGGCAGGGAGCATTATGGCATTGGTGTTGCCAAGATGATGTTCCTGTGCAAGGGGACCGTGGAGCCCCAGAGCATTGTAAGGTTGGCTGCCTGTGGGTGGGTTGTTGCTCTCAGCAGTGCTGACATCACCTTGTGCCATTGTGGATAGCAGCTAGCCTCTTGCTCCCTTTCCCTCTCAATCCCAGGTATCAGCCCATGGACAATTCCTGGGAGCGCCTGGCCAGCATGACCTGTGGGAGAAGTTACTTTGCTGCTGTGGCTCTTGATGGCTCCATCTATGCCCTGGGGGGCAGCTCAGGTGATCTGTACTGCACGGACACTGTGGAGTGTTATAATGTGGCCACTGACACCTGGAGGTGAGACCTCTCTACTTAGATGCCCGCTTTCCCCTGCCGTAGCAGCCCCTGGCATTGGTCAGTGGTGCCCACTGAGTGCTCTTTGTGTTGCTGACACTCCAGAAGAGGAGTCACAGTTGGGCTGTGATGCCTGTTGGGTAGTGAATGAGTTGGCTGGTTGTATTTGTGAGGGTCTGCTGGCTTTGCTAATGAGAGGAATCATTTAAATGTCTTCCAGCTATGTTTCTTGGGTGATCCATTGGGTGTTGGCCAATGCTTCCCACTGGGGGGTTCTACTGGGGCTCGATGGGTGTAGCCTGCTGAGTGCTCAGTGGATCCATGGCTAGCAGTGCCAGCAGGGATCTGCTGGGCAGGCAGTCACCATGGGGTAGCCCTGCTTTACCTGCCCTTCACCCCTCCCTCTCTTCTCCCCCAGGAGGTGCCAGTCCTTGCCAATGGCTCTGTGTGGACACGCAGCGTGTGCCCTGGATGGTGCCCTCTATGTGTCAGGGGGGTGTGATGAGGCGTACCAGTGCCAGACAGCCCTTCTGCGCTACATCCCAGGTGCACCAGCCACGCTCCTGGCCCCTATGAATGGCCAGCGAGCTGGCCACATCATGGAGGAGGCGGGTGGGCAGCTCTATGTGGCCGGGGGGCTGTGCCAGCGGGACGGGCAGGCTGGCTACAGGGACCAGCTGGCCTTTGAAGTCTACAGCCCCAAGCTAGATATCTGGGTCCTTCTCAGCCCTTTGCCCCACGCCCATGTAGTGGGGGGTGCAGCTGTGCTGGGAGGGGAGCTTCTTGTGCTTGGAGGGTACAGCCATGAAACGTACCGGGACACCCACTTGATCCATGCCTACCAGCCGGGCGCCCGGCGCTGGATCACCCGGGGCACTTTGCCCCATGCCTATACCGACCTCCAGGTGTGTGTCCTCACTGTCCCCCCAGCACTACGTGGCCCCAGTTGCCTTGAGGACTCCTCGAGATCACCTGATGCCCTCCATAACACTTAGGAGTCATTCAAAGCTCTGTACTCCATACTGGGCTCCCAGTGGGCACTTCTATGGGGCAAAATGTCCCCAGGCTCCTCCCCAGAACCCCAGGGAGTCCCCTGCACTGTGGGGCACAAAGACCACACTGCACACCACCACACTGTACCTCCAAGAATGCTCACGATGTTGCCCTGCCACCCCAAACCCTTCAGTGGGAGCTGAGGATCTCCCAGTTCCCCCACACCCTTGTACTGAATAAAAGTGGCTCCTGAACTGCCTGTCTGGGTCTCTTTTGTTCTGCTGAGGAACCCAGACATTCGGATGGTTCTCTCACAAATCACAGGAGAGCAGGGTCTGGAGAGCTGAGTGTCCTGGGTGGATGATGGTGGGGACCAAGGCTGCCTGCATTCTGGGGTCCATTGGGGAGCGGTCAGGGGAGGGCATGAGGGCTCTGGGTGCCTATGTTCACTGGGTCTTGGGATCGAGATGATCCAGCCATCTTGGAGGTTGTGGGGGATCATGAAGGAATATGGGAGTGTTCCTGGAGTGCCAAGGTTTTGGGGTAGATGGGAGGTTAGGCTGGGGAGGGTCCTCAGAGGTCTTGGCTTCCTGGAGTTTCCCAGAGGGTACAGGATACATGGAGATGTGGGGGAACCCTGGGGAAGTCTTGTGGGAAGAAGCAGGGATATCAGTGATATTCTGGGGATGGGAAAAGGGTTCTCGGGTGGCAGGGGAGGGCTGCGTGTTCTTATAGTACCTGGGGGTTTTGGGGTTAACAGCATCCACTGCTTTTTCTTTCCCTATAGATCCAATCATGTTTTGGGAGTGAGCCAATCGAGTTGATGCGGTATTTCTTAGCCTTGACAAATCCACAGTCTGTTCCAAATCAACTTGTCCATTTAGCACCCAGAAATGTGCTCCGAGAGGTCTTGCTCTGGGATTTTTCCAGGTGCTGAAGACCAAGCTGTAGTTCCCTGGTTGACCTGTTGGCCTTTTTTAAAACCGTTGCCACATTTGTGTTTGTCAAGTCACCAAGAACCTCCTTCTATCTGTAGGACCTTTCAAGGATGGCAGAGAGCAACATGCAAGGACGTCGCTGCCCTCAGCAGGCGGGGAAAGAGCTGGTGGGTCCCATGGGCATCAAAGCAAGTCTGGGAAACTCCAAAAGCAGATTGAAGAGAGGTCTCTGAGCAGGAGAGCTGCCCGCCTGTGTCTGCTGTTTGAGAAGAGAGAGGGCTTGTGGGAGAGGTGATGGAATGTGGCTGCGTTGGCCGCAGCAATCGGCGTATGTATTTTGTTATAGGGATACGTCTGGGTTCAAAATCATCTGCTTTAAGTGCGAGGGAAAACTGCAGCCCCTTGCTGAAACTTGCAGGTGAAAGAACGTGAGAAACTAGAAACATCATGGCTACAAAACAGTTCTGTAAGAGCACTGCAAGGTCTGAGCTACAGCGCTAAGAACAAAGGTAACCACAGTCGGTGTAGCCTCACCTATCTGCAGCACAGCAACCCGACATTTCCACGTACGCGATTCGTGGCTGCGAATGGCAGGCTGGAAACAAAGCTCCTGCCTGGAGGAAGCGCTCTGCACTGTGCTGCATGCTGCCCTTTGGCTCACTGCCTGGCTGGGATAGCAAGCAATGTGAGAAATCTGTCTCCAGGCCTTCAGCTGACAGAGGGATCCTTCTATGTCCTGTGCAGCCCTTGCAGGCAGAGCAGTGGGTTAAGTGTGGGTTGTGGGAAATGGGGGACAAAACGTTATGGAAGGATGTGGGGGAAAAGAAACATATCTACTACCCTTACCACCAATGATCACAAGATATTTGTAGCAGGAGCAAAAAAAGGGAGGAAGGGAGGAAGGAAGGGAGAGAGGGAGAAAGAAAAAGGAAGAATAAAAAAGGAAAAGGAGAAGGAAAAGGAGAAGGAAAAGGAGAAGGAAAAAGAGGGAAAGGAAGGGAAGGGAAGGGAAGGGAAGGGAAGGGAAGGGAAGGGAAGGGAAAGGGAAGGGAAGGGAAGGGAAGGGAAGGGAAGGGAAGGGAAGGGAAGGGAAGGGAAGGGAAGGGAAGCTCACAGCTCTGTGTTCTCCTGTGCCCTTCTTCACCACCCAGATCCATCAGTTGCCTGTTGCAATCAAATCTGAAATGGCCCTGAAGGATCTTTTCAGTTACGCATCCTGATATTCTTAGTCCTTATTCTTAGCACAGCAACAAAACTGAGCATCCTGGAGACAATGCCCAGGAGAGGTTACTTGTGGCAGCCAAGACAAGAGAGCTATTACTATCATGGGTGTTTTCACCTGTTCTGCATGTAATATTGTTCTTGTAGACTGATCTATTTCTTCATTTACCTGCTGAAATGTACTGCACAGTACCTGGATCTAGATTTAATGGTTTTACATCTTAATCTTAACATTTGGTGGACTGTTCCAAGTGGCCGTTGCTCAAGCATTAGCCTATGATGTCCCACTCCCCAGAAAAGTCTCCAATTTCCAGTGCAGGTGCTGGCTAACAAATGTTTTCTGATACTTTTTTTTAATATACACAAGGTTCCCAGGTGGATGGATTTAGCCTCTTCTTAACCTTATGATCTCTCAACCTGTCTGTAGATGTTCACCTTTCTCATTTGTTGCCCACGTTGCTCATTCCCTGTTGGTCTCCCTGGAGGTCAGGTACAAACCACCACAGAGCAAACAGACTCAAGGTGGGGAAAAGTGATTTCATCTATTGTCGATTGAAATAGAGTTGGGTGGGGAGAAGCAGGCACACCTCTTCCCCCTCTCCCCACTCCCCACCCAGCCCCCTCCTCTCCCTCCTCCTAGCGTGGGTCCATAACTGCTCCCCTGCCTTTCTTGGTGACCTCCTCAGCAATTCTCCCCTAAACATAGGCACTGCAGCTGTCTGTATCACGAGGCCCCATCCCTCGGTGCCTATTAGCACCAGCATTCAGCAGCTGACGAGGGACCACGGTGCTCGTGAGGATGGGAGCAGTTCCCTCCTCTCTGACCTTTCCTTGAGCCCTTGGGTGGGCAGTGAGGACAGAAGGAGGGCAGCTGCCCAGCTGTCCCCACGAAAGCAGCCCTGGGGGTTATTGTGCTGTGGGGGGGCAGCATGCAGGACTGTGCACTGAGCGTGCATTTCCACCCGCTCAAACTACAGCACTGCAGTCCCCAGGGACTCTCTTTGTGCTCATATGTTACACATGAAAGGATTTTGAGGTTTTGCACATGGTGTCCTGGTGCATGGAAGGAAAGGTGACTTAGCTGCTCCAGTGCAGCATTCGGGGCCATTTGGAGCACATTTGGTGATGCTGAGGATGAGGGCTGTGGCCATAGGGACCCATTGCATCTCCTCTGCATCTGTTCGATCTCTTGTTGTACAGATATTGTTCTTGGCCCCTTACTTTGAGGACATCAAAAGCAGTGGATTACACTGGAGCATCTCTTGAATGAAGTTAACACTCCTGCGGATGCATGGCATGGATGGAAATGAATGGGACTTTTCCACCAGAGCCAGAGACATTGCTGGTGTGACATGGCTTTCACTGGGGAAAAAATAAGCACTGCTTCATGTGGGCCCTTCAGAGGGCAGTGAAATACCTCCAACTACAGCAGTCTGCAGTGATGGCCAAGTCCACAACCCCAAAACAGCCCCTTCTCAGAATTCCCTTTGGCTTTCCCTGCTCCCAGACAGGTGCAGCTCCTCCTGCAGCAGCAGGATCTCCCCTGCCAGCCAGGCTCTTTTCCTGGAGCCAAGAAGAGCGTTTTGCAGCTGGGCTCCAACACCATCGAATCACAACCTTCGCTGTGTGCATCCCAGAAGAAGGGATCTGACTAAGGCACTCCTGAGTATTGCCCAGAAAGAAAAAAAAAAAAAAAAAAAAAAAAGAGCTCCTGACACTTTGAAATGACCCTAAAATGCCTGGGAACGGTGAGGAATGCCACCAAGGCGCTGAGGCAGGATGAGGGACCTGCAAAGAAGTCGCTCCCTGCTGCATTTTTGGAGACCTCAAATTGGTTCCAGGAAAATCCCAAATGGTTCCAAAATCCAGTGGTCCTACATTCCAAATCCCAATGGTTCCAAAAAATCCCAGGAGATGTGGAGAAAATGTGTAGCTCTTCACTGGGTTCTGTGTGGCTGCAATGCGGTCTCCCGAAGGATCAAATATTTGGGGCAAAAGCCAATGTTGTGCTTCCTATCTAAAATCCTCCAGCTCTTCTTCTTCTCTGTGTCAGGAAGTTGCACATGAGTGGACATTTCCTCTGTTCTCTGCAGTTCCAAGTATTGAGTACAGCCATTTGCTGTACTCTGACAGCACTACCAGAGGTCTAATGAAATGAAATTAGCCCCCATATGGAATTCAGGCAAAGAGAATATTTATTCTGTGATTAACAACCCAACTCTGGGTTGAAAGCATGATGTGTCTGTGTGTGTGTCATTTGAGCAGAAGCAGTTAGCACGTAGCAGACAAAGCCAGCTCTGTTTTCCCACACTGACCCCAAAACCTGGCATTTCAGCCCCAAGCTTTGGTTTAGGACAACTCCCACCCCTGCCAAGCAGCCCAGAAGCCATTTCAGATCTAGCTAGCACAATGAGTGTGAGTAGTGCTGGGGCAAGGAGCTGGATGTCTTCCCTTTCTGCGGTGAGCAGATCTTCCTGTCGTGCAGCAGGAGACATGAGCCAAGCCGTGCCCCCCGTCCTCCCTCTGAAGGTACAGGAGCATTTACAAGGTGTTGGCAGCGTGTTTCACCCTGACAGCACCGATGGCCCTGACTCCCCTGTCCAGGCTGTGAGCAGAAGGGCTCTGTGAGCTGAGCTTTGTGGCTGTCAGCTCTGTGGGGAAAGGGTTGGATGGAGCATTCAGAGGGCCGTGGTGGATCCACAGCTCCTTCGTGGTGCAGAAGGACTTTGCAGGAGGGCCGCGCTGCACCCCCAGGTCTTTAATTGTGCAGTAAGTGTGGGATGTGGCAACTTCAGGGCACAGCTCTATTTCCTTGGTGGTGCAGAACGTGGAGCGTTGTTGGGAGCTTCGGAAGATGCAAAGATCTGTGGTATGACTTTGAGTTGAATTCCCCCACCTCAGCAGTGGATGCTGCACCTCTTGGGTCTGCAGTGAGTTGTGTTTTGTCAGACACGTCCACACCAGGCAGCAAGCTAAAAGCAGCACAGACAGGAGCAGCAGAGCCAAGCAGGCCAGGTAGAGCACCCAGCGCAGGAGACAGCAATGGCTCAGCACCCAGTGCTCCCAGTGCAGATCCTTCACAGCTGCCTGTGAGT